GGATATTCCATGGCCATGTTTAACGCCAACCCAGAAAGCACTGCGCCTCAGCGCACAGCGAGGGAGGAGCTTTCCTCGTAGCTTACATATGTCAACAATGGGCTCATGTAGTTTCCAGTGTTTATATGGCTTATAGTGTATCGCAAGGTCGTGTGGAGTGTTTCTTGATGGCCCTAATTTCGAATATCGGGTCAAAATTCGCGTCAAACGTCGCGTCAAACAAACGTCAACAAGGTAACCGCAGACTGTTTGAAATAGACGAACATATGTCGTATCTCGCGCGGAGAGAATATAAGGATGAAGAATGCAATGCAATGCAGATCGGTGTATGTATAAAACGATAAGTACTCCTTCCAAGTTCCAACTACAGATTATGCTCCAGAATGTTATTCCCTACAAAATTAAAAGAATCTTATTTTCAATAATGTATAGCGAGCTTCTCCGCTGTCCTGTTTTCTTCCTATGGTGCATTTAACCCTCGCCCTGGCAGGGGGGGGGGGGTCGATGCGACCCCCCCCCCTAAGGTTTTTCGAAGATAGCGTAAAAACGGCGGCGCGCAGCGCCGCCAAATTTGCACAGCCTATGGGGCAACCTTTTTACATATGACCTGAAAATGTGAGGTCCGGGTGACCTTGGGTCAGGTCACCAGGTCAGAAAAACCGGTACAAGGTCATGGTCAAATTTCAATTTTCTTTTTGCACCTGTCCAACTCACAGTTTTGGACTGAGTTCCTTCAAACTTTCAGGATGTGCTAAGTTCACCGAGTTGTATAACATATGGTTCGGGTTTTTTGAGGTCACTGACCTGAGGTCAGTTAGAGGTCATTACGTCGTAATGTTAAGCCTATGGGAAAATACTAAATTCGGAAAATACTGGAGATATCCGCTTCGTTCTATCACTTTTGTGCTTTCAAACCATAGTACTTATCAGCAGGTCACTTGGTGCTTCTTTGTTTGGTGTACTTATCAATGGGTCAGGTCAAATGAGGTCAACTGAGGTCAAATAACGTTTTTGCCAATAACTTGGCACATAATGACGCTAGAGCTTAACAAATGGTACCATTGTGTTCCTAGTGATCAGCCGAATCGAATGATATGCGATATGATGCAATTTGGTTAACTTGAACTTAATTTATTAATTTAAGTTTACTTAAAATTTAAGAAAAACTTTAAGTACACTAAAGCAGGCTAAAAAGTATACCATTCGACGCGCCTTGACGTGCTGAGTTCACTGGTGCTTTTCTTTTTGCGCTATCTTAATTAGATCAAAAGTTATAAGCGAAAAACTTTTGACCTGTTTTTAGCGAAGTTTTTACATTTATACCCCCCAAAACCCCCTCAATATTGACCTAGAGCAACCAAATTTGCACAGGGGCGAGAACTCCAGGGGGCCCACCTACCTACCAAATTTGGTGTTTTTAGGTGCCATAGGAGCCAATCGCGAGGGGGGGTCGCATCGACCCACCCCCCCCCCCCCCTGCCAGGCCGTGTTATGAAAAATGCCCTGCCAGGGCGAGGGTTGAGGAGTAACGAGACAGACTCTACCCGATTGTCTTTAGGTACGGCCCTCCAGCAAAAGAGTGGTTGGTTAGCCTATGTGCTATTGGTGTAATAACTTTTGAATGCCAGAGACACACCTGTAATATGACTCAATAGAAATGAGAAGAGGGTTCGTGCACACACTTCAGCAATGGTTTTCAACAGCCATTACACGTACCTATTCATCAATGCAGATCGCTTATTGTGATGTTGGCAACCAACCCCTTACCCGCGACCGCCGGGGGGGGGTCGGATCCGACCCCCCCCCCCTCCGTTTTTCTTGAATAACTCATGAACCGCTTACGCTATCTACTTGAAACTTGGTATACCTTTTCCCTTATCAATTTGACGTCTCCTGTGCAATTTTTAAGAAAATTATTCCAAAAAAATTGAGATATATCGATTTTAGTGATGTAACTACATGGCGTTTTCAGTCAAAAAGTGGTAAATGTTTAGAAAATCGCCAAAAATCGAGGTTTGAAGCAAATTGCAAATTAGGGACATGAATAGACGCAGCTCAACGAGTTCTTTAAAATGGCTATCTCGGATTTTCCATAAAATGCGTTTTTTACCCCCCAAAAATTCAAAAAACTATATTTTTGGAAAACAGCTAATAAAATCCAAAATTTTGGGAATTTCCAAAAAAACGGAATATATGTTATAGAGCTCTATTTGAACATTAGATGTCCCAAATTTCAACTTTCTGTCTTGATTTTTGACCCCCAAATTGTAAAAAAATAGCTCCAACATGCATAGGGCATGGTGACGTCATAAGCATTTTCGTGAATTACAGGCACTTCTGAACATCGCATGTGAAAACAAATGGCACCACTAGATTCCTGGGACAAAGCTCGTCTAGAAAAATGCATTTTTATGTCAAAAATAAAAAGTTAAAAATTGAATTTTTTCTTAGCCCTCGTTTAGTTATGTATGGTATAAACGATTTTTTATGCTTTCAATGCACACTTATCACCAGCACAGTGACTTGGGGTCACATATAACCATTACCATCGGATTCGGCGTGAAAAATAAGCCATAAAACATGTGTCGCACGCCCATGTAGCAGAAAGTGAAAACCGTGACCTTTCGTGACCTGACCTGACCTTGACCCGTACTTAGTATGACCCCTATACGCACATGGTACCTTCACTAGACCTTTGAGGTCATTTTTGGTGAGTTTCGAGCAGCAGCTATCGATTCCGCTGTCCGTAAGCCTAATCATGCAAAACCCCTGAATTTGACCTTTGACCTGACCTTGACCCGAAAGTTGACCTCGATCTTAAAATATTAAGAGTGCTTTGGGAAGTTCTCGTAGAGACCTTTCGAACGCCGCCTCCTTGTCAGTCTCTCGTCTAAAATCTCTATCTCCGTCAATTGTCTCTGGTCTAGCATCTTTGTCTGACTTTCGTCTACCATCTTTGTCTCCTGTCTCTGCTCTAGCATTTATGCATATTTTTTGCTGTCTGTCCACTAGCCACCGTCTACGGTTAGTCTCATTTTCACTTTGTCTCATCTTCCTTTTTCTTTCTTCCTCCGTCCTTATTTGTCGTAGAACAACTTATTAAAAGTTCATGACGTGCAAACAAGTGCTCCACTCCGCTGCGCTGCGCGCGCGGCCCGCACGCCGGCCGGCCAGACTGCGACTGACGCCGACATGACCCGAGGCTGGACCACAAGTGGGCGGAGCCAAGCCGCAGTGTGCTAGTACGTCACGACCAATCAGAGGAAAGACAGCGCCCAGCCTGTGCCAGCCTCTAAGCAGGGCTCTGACGACCTTAACACCAGTATAGCGCCTTTTGGGGCGACTAACGGAGCGAGCGAGGGGGTGAGTCTTGCACGTGCGAAATTTCGAGGGGATACCTCCAACTGACTTGTGCACGGCACCCTACTGACCGGTTTCTAGCGATGTGCCAAATTTGAGCACAATCGGCCCAGCCGTTCTCGAGATCTGGGAGCGGCACCCTGCACGTGCGCACGTGCAAAATGGGTCCCAACTGACTTGTGCACGGCACCCTACTAACTGGTCCCTAACCGTGTACCAAATTTGAGCGCCATCGGTCCAGCCGTTCTCGAGATCTGGAAACGACCCCTGCACGTGCGCACGTGCAGCAGCACCCCAACTCTGGCACATGGATATGCAGTGCGTAGTGGGTGCCTACCTACATGCCAACTTTGAGCGCAATCGGTCAAGTAGTTACCGAGATATTGCAACAATTGCAAAACTGACACCTCTTCGTTTTGCACGTGGCACGTGCATAAGGGGTCACCCACATGCATCGGGAATAGTCCAATACTTGGTAGAAGGAATGAAGCTACCCTACAAAAATTACCCCATGTAAATCGGTCAAGTGGTTGCTGAGATATAAGCCTCGCAAAAGCGTCCGCACGGCCGGCCGGCCGGCCGGCCGGCCGCTCATACTCAGAAATTTCCGTTAATCTAAGGAAAGACTACGCTCGCTTCGCTCGCTCCGTAATTATCAGTTAATGACAAGTGCCTTTATTTTTTACTTTTTGTTAATAGACCATATTGATAAAGATTACGTAGGTAGGGATCTCAAACTACCAATCCCAAAGTTTGGTTAAAATCAAACGCATATGCAACGAGAAATAGCCGAAAAGGACTGTTCCACAGGGTCTGAAATGCATAGTAGCTGGCTTAGTACCACAAACGGCAGCGCCATCGGTATATGATGGGCAGTGGGCACCGCACGTGATATTCCAACGGTGGCCCCAAACAGCAACATTTTTTTTAGTTTGACATGACCCAACCTGGAAGGTCAATGATTGACCTAATGAGGTAAAATTGGGTACCATTGGATTCGCCTCTTCCCAAAGAATCTTGTTGGTCTTTGCCGCGAAGCTCTATCTCCAGCAAGAACGAAATGGCGCGGGGGTTGGCAACCACCCAGTACCCCCCATGTGCGTTCTAGGATGATGGGAAAATGGCATGTGCGGGCGAGGGTTAATAGTGCTATGGAATGCGCTTTTCCGGGGCGCTGTAGCTCTATTACTTACGAGTTATGCCTCGGCTTGTTTGTAATTGTCGACATTCGGCCTGAAAATCGGAGAAATTTAGCCATCAATGACCTCTGGTGACCTGACCTTTGACCTGACCAAAGAAGTGACCGAAGTACTTTCGTCATTATTTTGACGCTCTTTCCATCGCCGACTTCCCCGTATCGCTACGTGGCCCAAGAGCCGAGTAAGAAGGGGCGTTCAAACACCACCCTGCCCTTCCCAAGCAGGGCGTGGAAATCCAGGACACCCAGCGGGGCGCGGGCTTGAATGGGGAACGCCGCTGTTGTGCAGTTTAGTGGCGCCTGCAACATATGTAAGTACGTATAGGTTGGCCGCCTTCATATGATAAAGCTTCCTCGTTTCCCGGCTGGAGATGGCTGTTTACCGCAGGAAATGTAACCGCGGCTACACAGGCTGCAGAAGGCGGCGAGGAAACTGCGCATGTCTCGATCAGTGTCTGTATTCACGAGCAGCATGAGAGTAAGTTGGCGGTACACTGGCCTTCTCGGAGCTGACCAGTACATACATACGTCTGTAGGTAGGGCGGCTCAGCGGAGGGGCTGCGCTCAGCGCCGTGCCCACCGTCCAGTGGTGGTACCACAGCTCCCGGCAGCGGAGGGGCTGCTCGCCGTCGGCCCCTGTCGCCACAGGCTACAACTCTGCACCTCCGACGGTCGACGTTCCAGTCCGGGTGCCACTGACACACCGTGTCATTGGCACACTGTGACACTGACACACAGACACTGTGACACTGGCCGCCGCACTCGGTGACACGGGCCGATTGCCGGTGCCACGGCCACCGTGCCAGGCGCCCCCGGCTCCGTCAGTGGATGACGGGCCGCACGTCCACGCACCGCTCCAGGATGGTGTCCAGTCAGTGGATGACGGGCCGCACGTCCACGCACCGCTCCAGGATGGTGTCCAGTCAGTGGATGACGGGCCGCACGTCCACGCACCGCTCCAGGATGGTGTCCAGTCAGTGGATGACGGGCCGCACGTCCACGCACCGCTCCAGGATGGTGTCCAGTCAGTGGATGACGGGCCGCACGTCCACGCACCGCTCCAGGATGGTGTCCAGTCAGTGGATGACGGGCCGCACGTCCACGCACCGCTCCAGGATGGTGTCCAGGAACGGCCGGCTGTCCGGACACGTGCACTCGCCCGTCACAAACACGGCGCCCTCGGCACACTCGGTCTTCTCCTCCGGCGCCGCGACGTCGGGCAGCTCGGCAGGATAGAGTCCAGACGCCTCGGGCTGCTCGGGATACGGTGGCTCCCGCTCGGGCTCCTCGGGATACGGTGGCTCCCGCTCGGGCTGCTCGGGATACGGTGGCTCCCACTCGGGCTGCTCGGGATACGGTGGCTCCCGCTCGGGCTGCTCGGGATACGGTGGCTCCCGCTCGGGCTGCTCGGGATACGGTGGCTCCCGCTTGGGCTGCTGATCCCGCTCGGGCTGGTGTTTGCCGCCGTGGCCACAGTGAGCTCCTGTGAAGGGAAACAGTGAGTCACTGCACTGCTGGTGACCATGCGTCATAGAAATATTTAATGCGTGTGCCACTGTGTACGTAAATGTCCATTGCTGTGTAGGCTGTATCGGCGTGGCGCCCGGGGCCGGTTTGTGTGGGCGCGCCTGTCGCCACAGGACGGCCGATCTGCTGGGGTGGCGGTCCGGACAGCCGAACCCCTCGCACTGCAGACGAACTGGCCAGCGGCGGCCCACAGGTGCCGAGAGCCCCAGACTGACAGATATGGTGGGACTGCGGTCACGCGCATCAGCTTCCAACCCTGCCCATGCCGATATTATCCACCCTGGATTTTTTTCAAACTTGTGTATTTCAATTGTTCCCCTTATTTATCGAACATCATTTTTATCATAGTGAAATAACGATAACCATCTTTTTGGCTATCGTAATATAAAAATATATTTTATTACATGCATGCTAGTTTTATCAGCTGGCGACACTGGCGCATCCAGTTGGGCATTTGGAGCAAGACCTTCCCCCTGCAGCGCCGGAAACCGACGACAATTTACAGTTCTTGGAGAAAAAAAGAAAGAAAAATAAACAAATTTGATAAGGAAACGACTCCTTACCTACGCATTGCACAACAGTGCGTAAGGAGTCGAGTCGGGGAGTTTTTTTGGAAATTAAAGAAACTTTTGCGGGTGTGTGCCCCTACCCGGCAGAGTCCAAGACCACCTTTGTGGATCGGATCGGCCAGTTGTCAGGCGACAATTTCTGACCGTCTCCGAGTTCAGCCTTCTCACGCCCTTAGGACTAGCTGGTAGGGCTCGAAATGGTTATGCATCATTGATCTATTGTCGTGACCAGGGCTGCGGAATTGATGGATTTTCGGTGACTCCGACTCCGACTCCGGGCAGAATTGTCTACTCTGTGACACCAAGTGACATACTGTTATTTACTGTGGTTTCAAAGCACGAAAGTGATAGAACGAAGCGGATATCTCATGCATTTTCCGTATTGAATATTTTCCCATAGGCTTAACATTACGACGTAATGATCTCTAACTGACCACAGGTCAGTGACATAAAAAAACCGAACTATATATTATACAACTCGGTGAACTTAGCACATCCTGAAAGTTTGCAGAAAATCAGTCCAAAACTGTGAGTTGGACAGGTGCATAAAGAAAATTGAAATTTGACCATGACCTTGTACCGGTTTTTCTGACCTGGTGACCTGATCCAAGGTCATCTGGACCTGAAATTTTCAGGTCATAAGAAAAAAGGTTGCCCCATAAGCTGTGCCAAATTTGGCGGCGCCGCCGTTTTTACGCTATCTTTGAAAAACCTTAGGGGGGGGTCGCATCGTCCCCCCTGCCAGGGCGAGGGTTAAAACAACAGCCGAACGTCCCTTCCGTGGCTGGTCAGGCGGGCCGAGAGCGCCGGGTCTGCGAGTCAACACCTAAGAGTCACTTCACGCTTCTGTTTGGCTGACTTTGGTCCATCGTGAGAGTGAGCTATGCGATTGCGCCTTTTTGCCGGCTGTCATCATGTATTCATATGTTCATCCACATACATCATGGCTTTTCAGAACAAGAGTCAAATATTACATACACACAATACAGGTTAAGATGTAAACATGCGATAAAAGACATAGATACACTAAAAGATTGGTAAAATCCGATGTCCGGTGTCCTACTCGGCTATCCGCTATGACGAGGACATGGCGAACCATTTTCTCGCCCTTCTGCGACACGCCGTCGCAGAGCGCGCCTCTCTCACTTCAGCCGGCGCCCGGTTCCACAGAGCGGGCGAACGATAAAAGAAGGACCTTCGTGCATGCTCACTGCGCGCCCTGGGAATCTGCGGAAGACCAGCCAGAGAGGCTCCGGTGTCCCTAGTGGCTACATCACTGCGGTGTACAATGCACGCGGTCAGGCTGCCGGGCGCCTGTTCGTTATTTAGCAAATAGTGCATCTGCGAAACGTCGCGCTCGGCTACAAGGTTGTCAAGTGACGTCCATTTAGCTCAGCTAATAACGGCGTGACATGGTCTCGCCGTTTTGCCCCCTTCACCACCTGTGCACAATGGTTCAACACTTTTTGTAAGCGATGCCGTTGGGTAGCATTGCAGCCGACCCACGCAGAAGAGCAATAACTGAAATGCGGAAAAATAAGTGATTCAACAATCATTTTCTTCACAGGTTCTGGCAATTTGCCAGCCATTTTTTGATAGTCCACCAAGAGTGGCATAACACCGTCTAACTATATACTAGAAACATGCTTCTCAAACGTTAATCCTCCGTCAACATCCATCCCCAACACTTTCACCGCCGGGGAAGGTCTAATCGAAACATCACCGAATTGCACAGAAAACTCATGACTGCCGCTTACTTGACTTAATTAGTACGAGGTCGGTTTTGTTAGGGTTAATTTTTAAACTGTACTCACTGAACCAGCTGTGCACGGTGGCTACGGTGCGTTCGACGCTCACTTTGAGTCCCGACAGGTCACTGGGCTTACTCTGATGTAAAAGCTGCACATCATCCGCATACATCACCATGTTGGAGCCCTCCATTTCCAGGTATGACACTAAATCATTTGTAAAAATTAAAAATAATACTGGGCCGATCAGGGACCCCTGGATTACGCCATGCGTTATGGGTTGCATGTCCCCCTCTCCACCTCTCACTGCCTGTCCGCGCCCACTGAGCCCACTGTGAGAGACGCATATTAATTAGGGGAGGACCGTACTAGAGTACGCACCTAATGCATTTTGTCGTCTCACGCCGTTCGGTTTTGGTTTACGGCTACGATCAGTATATTCCGATAAATCCTGATCATTTGTCCACAAACTGTCATGACCACAGCGGCCAACGTCCAATTTAAAGCGTGCCGACCGTAAGCAATTTTCTAACACCCTGCATTTGCGTACTCTTGCCCGATAGGCAGTACAAGAGTACGCACTTCGTGCGGGTGGAGTAGGGGAGAGTGGGGTGGGTTGTATCAGTTTTTACTCCGAGACCCATAACCTCGTAACTATCCGTGATAAACTCATTATTTCCATACTATCTCCTTCCTTGATACTTCTGCTTTTTTGTGCAAAGTAACTTTTCCGCTACCTCTACCAGTTTTTCTGCTACGGTCTGCCGAATAGAACAATGTTTTTGATACAACTTGCCCCATGGCTTGGGTGAGTTGTATCACATGGTGGGGTAATTTGTATCACTAGGTATTTCACGTTTCAGGGAGTGTGCTTGCTACTGGTTTTGAACATAACAGCAACATTAAATGGTATTAATACAATGTATATGCTCAAAGGCTTCACTTTTATTAGACCAAGCTTAGGTCAATGCAATCCGAACGAAACATCGAAACGAACGAAACATTAACAGACTAGATGCAAAAGTGGCCCGTTAAGAGCAAAGAAGCCAACACATTGTGCCGAAATGGAACGAGTATTGACTAGCTACCTACAAACGCGAGACAGGGCTTAGCTTTCGCGATCAAAAGCAACATACCCATACATACATACATGTTACAACATACCCCACCCGGCTCTGATACAACATGTACCTCGCCGCCATCTTGGAAAAAAACATCCTCGTGCTCAAAAACAGCGGACAGCTGGAGAAATCCATTTTCACTCACGCAGCCTTAGAACCTACCCTCACCATGGCTACGGAGATCTTTCAAATTCGTGCACATCTAAATGCCCAAAACACACATTTTCTTGCAACTCATTTTTTTAGAATGACATTAAAAAAAACATAAAATCGGCTCTCAACTCGAGACGCGTCCACCCAGCCACACGACAGAACAGGGAAAGATGGCGCCCGGAAAACCTCGTCGGCTGGTCGTGTCACGAGCGCTATCTATTGGATAAGTTTGGCACAATCGCCCTGATACAACTTGGACATGATACAACTCTCCCCGCTCTCCCCTACGCACTACGTGTATGCATTCCTACTCGCTGGAATCAATGCATTCATGCAAGTAATTAAACTATTGTTATCTTTATTGCCGCAGCCACTAAAACGGTCAGAGGCGCCCCGCTGTGGTCGTGCAAATGCCCCCTGGTCTACCAGAAACAGTGATGCTCTTCGTGGTTTCCCCAACTGCTCGGCGTCCCCCCGAGTGTCATCCACCTTGTTGGCCAATCCCGTGAATCTGCTGAGGGGTTGCGCGCCTGATGCACTAAGTTGATTAATGCAACACAACCACGCACTCGGAAAACTGCGTACTCTTGTCCGCCACGGCAATGCGTACTCATGGCCGACACATACGGTAGACACAAAGCGGGCTGAGAGCTGGCGCCACAGTCGTCGCGTAAACAATTGGGACTTGACACACGCACCAGATTCCCCGTGGTATCTTGATAGGAAAAAATGAAAATTCTATTGCCGCTCCCTGAGGAAGGTCACACCTTTTCCTGCACCCCAAAAAGTCCAAAAGCGATGTGAAAAACACGTCTAAGCCTCTAAAAAAGATAAGTGAACCCGTAGCGCGCCCACCTTCCACCATCGAAGCCGCGTGAGAGACAGCTTCCTTAGGACTCGAGATGACGCTGATGAGGCGTTGCTAAGCAACCGAAAGAGCTGCTGCGTACTCTTGTCGCCTGCGTCCTCTTACCCGCCCTTACCCTACGGAGCGGGCGAAGCGAGCGGAGCCTTTCCTTAGATTAACGGAAATTTCTGAGCATGAGCGGCCGGCCGTGGTCACGATTTTGCGACGCTTATATCTCAGCAACCACTTGACCGATTTACATGGGGTAATTTTTGTAGGGTAGCTTCATTCCTTCTACCAAGTATTGGATTATTCATGATGCATGTGGGTGACCCCTTATGCACGTGCCACGTGCAAAACGAAGAGGTGTCAGTTTTGTAATAGTTGCAATATCTCGGTAACTATTTGGCCGATTGCGCTGAAAGTTGGCATGTAGGTAGGCACCCACTAGGCAATGCATATCCATGTGCCAGAGTTAGGGTGCTGCTGCACGTGCGCACGTGCAGGGGTCGTTTCCAGATCTCGAGAACGGCTGGACCGATGGCGCTCAAATTTGGTACACGGTTAGGGACCAGTTAGAAGGGTGCCGTGCAAAAGTCAGAAGGGATTCATTTTGCACGTGCGCACGGTCAGGGTGTCGCTTCCAGATCTCGAGAACGGCTGGGCCGATTGTGCTCAAATTTGGCACATCGCTAGAGACCGGTTAGTAGGGTGCCGTGCACAAGTCAGTTGGAGGTACCCCTCGCGATTTCGCACGTTCGAGGCCCACCCTCTCGATCGCTCCGTTGTTCGCCCCAAAAGGCGTTATACTGGTATTTGAGAATATCTTTTCGCTACATATTGTTCTTTTGGCGTACAGCTTTCACTGGGACACGAAATAAACATTTCGATGTCCCAGTGAAGATTTCAAGATTTCAACAATGCCCGGGACAGCCCGTTGAAATATTAAAACGTTTTTTTTTTTAATAAAAACGTCATTTTTTAAAAAGGCTATCGAACGATTTTGATAGAGAAGTACATGTTTTGGAATCAGCTCACCGTCAGCTTTCGAATGGTATATGTCGTTTCTTTTGAGCGTGAAATGACCTTCCGACGAGCCATGAAGGGGGCCTCCCAGCTCGGTGGGCCTTTATGTAGCTACGAGCAAAAGCTAATATCTAAGGAACGGGACATCCGATTGACAAGCGGTCTTCTTTACTGAATGTCACTTGGACGTAAAAGTTCTGTGGTGTGATGGTCACCATGCGTTCTTGCCAACCACCGCACGTGGCGCGTGGTAAAGTTGGACATTTTTTAAGAACCCCCAAAATTGCAACCTCAATAACGGCACAACGGTTGGGCCGATTGAATTGAAACTCGGTACACAGTTAGGTCTCCATCAGATAATTCATCTGCATGTGTTAAGGTTGGGGTGCTACAGCACGTGCGCACGTGCAGGGGGCGCTCCCAGATCTCGAGAACGGCTGGGCCGATTGCGCTCAAATTTGGTACACGGTTGGGAACCAGTTAGTAGGGTGCCGTGCAAAAGTCAGTTTGGACCCCGCTTGCACGTGCGCACGTGCAGAATGCCGCTTCCAGATCTCAGGAACGGCTGGGCCGATTGCGTTCAAATTTGGCACACCGCTAGCGACCGGTTGCGCACGTGCAGGGCTCACTATCTCGCTCGCTCGTTCTTCGCCCAAAAGGCGTTTTACTGGTACCTATCACGAGAAAAATCGGAGCTTCACCCGGGCAGATAAGGGCCTTTTTAAGCCTCCAGACTTCAGACTAGTGGCCCTCTCTGGGAGAGAAGCTGTATTGAGGTTTCCTTTCTTCTTGCTGGCAACAGCCTCTCATCAACGCAGGTCTTGCAGTTGGCCTGTTTTGAGTGGCACAGTCCTTAGGTACAGGGGATCTCCTCGTTCTAAATAAACCTAAAGCTTCCTTATCGGTGTTTTAACGCTCACATTTCAGCAACAACACTGCCTAACAACACACAACACTGTAAAGCCATTTCGATAAGAAAAAGTCAATTTACAGCCGGGCAAAAAGATATGTTCCCTCTGTTCCGCACCACGGGGGGGGGGGCGGGCGGGTGCCCCTCCTGTACTGCGGTGGCGCCGCCCCTGGCGTGAGGGCAGTCACTAGCGGGAGACCTGCCTCAGAAAGAAGATGACGCTGGAAGGATTACATGACAAGAAGTCAGAAGACCAAAAATGTAAAGGATAAGTCAAGTGGCAAAAAGTCAAATCGGCTTAAAGTCAAAAGACAAAAAGTCAACCATAAAAAAGTTGAAAACACAAAAAGTCAAAACCGCAAAACGTAAAAAAGCTTAAAGTGAAATACAACAAGTCAAAAAGGCCATAATTCAAAATTATAAAAGTCAAGTGTCAGAAAGCCAAACGGAAAAAGTCAGAGAGGCTAAAAATGAAAAGGATAAATTTTTATCCTAGTCAAATACAAAAAGTCGTTAAAATATTAATTTCTAACCTAATCTAACCTAACCCTGCCTAACCAAACCTAACCGATAAACTTATAATGTCTCATTAATATGTTTTCAATAATTTCTCTAAGAAAAAACACGTAATAACAAATAGCTTTTAACGATTTGTTGCCGTTTGACCTTTATCTCTTTGACTTTTGACTTTTGACTTTTTACATTTTGACTTTTATCCATTTTGACTTTTTACATTTTGACTTTTATCCATTTTGACTTTTTACATTTTGACTTTCATCTTGAAACTTTTGACTTTTCACATTTCATTTTTTACTTTTGACTTTTATCCGTTTTGACTTGTATCCGTTTTGACTTGTATCCGTTTTGACTTGTATCCGTTTTGACTTTTTACGGTTGACTTCAATCCTTTTTTACTTTTTACTTTTTACTTTTTGACGTTTTGACTTTTATACCGGTCCCGTAGCTTAGTCGGTAGAGCGTTGGACTACGCGTGGTGAGAGCACGCGTTCCCGATATAACAGTTCGGGTTCGAAGCGCGACGGGCGCTTGACGTTTATGAGCCTCCTGGCAGATGTGGTTGCGGTTGGTGACAGGCCGTAGCCAGACGAAGTCGTGAAGGGACCGGCCGTGCGTGGCTATGTGCGCACGTTAAGCTTTTGGACTCTTAACCCTCGCCCGCACATTGAAGGGGGGGGGGGGGTGGTTGCCACCCACCCCAGGTAGTCTTTCTGCTCTGCACTCAACATTTTTAGAGCTAGGAGGCTGATTTTTCGCATAGCTGCTCCTCTATCCTTTCTTGATGTCCACTGAAAATTTCAAGTTTCTGTGGTTTTTGGTTTCGGAGATATGACCTTGTTTTTAGGTCATGTCATGACCCAAATGGCCAATTCTCAACATCTTGCGTTGGCTATGGGCCTTGTGAGCTTTTGACACCTTGATTTCGGCCTTTTTTGCCAGTCTTACCTCCCACCTATCATGGAACATGTTGTTCGACGATGTACAGATGTCAAGGTCAAGGTCAAGGTCAACCTAGGTCATCTAAGATAATTGCGTTTTAGGCAAGCGGAAGTTACTTTTTGTGAAATTTTTTGACTGCATTTTTGGTAACAGCTTCTCAGATCATGATTTCATGTAATATGGACACATAAACAATCGGTGCACACATCAGTATACACACAGACACACACAGACATACAAACACATATAATTGACCTTGACCTAACTTGACCTGAAATGACCTCAGCAGCAAAAACCTGGTCGGGTAGAGTGACAAAGAGGTTCTAGCTGGCTTGGCACCAGAAAACGGCATCGTCATCGGTATATGATAAGCAGCGCACTTGATATTCAACGGTGACCCAAAACAGCAATATTTTTAGTTTGACCTGACCTGGAAGGTCAATGACTGACCTGAGAAGGTAAAACTGGGTATCATTGGATTCGTCTCTTCCCAAAGAATCTTTTTGGTCTTTACCGCTAAGCTCTATCTCCAACAGGAGCGAAATGGCGCGGGGGGGGGGGTGGCAAACCCCCCCCCCCCCCATGTGCGTTCTAGGATGGGAAAATGGCATGTGCGGGCGAGGGTTAATTCTGCCATAGAACGGGAATTGCACGATCGGAGGGTAGACGGCAGGGCCAACGCAACAAGCTTCGCTTAGCGGGGCTCTGTCCTTGTGAGTCCTTCCACTCAAATGGTTCAGAAAATAGAATAGTTATACTAAGTTAACAAAAAAAGGAAAAATGCATTTCGACCTTCTTCCAATTGACTTTTATCCCTTTTGGCTTTTTGCATTTTACTTTTTGTCTTTTGACTTTTTGTCTTTTGACTTTTTGTCATTTGACTTTCTGTCTGGTTGCCCGCTAGCAGATGGTCTTTTGAACAGTCGAAGTGATTGTTTATGTAATTACAAGACAAAAACTGTCCCCCCCATACCCGAGTCAGGAGATACACGTGTCGTCTCCCTGTTAGGTTGTGCCCCCACTTTATTATGACATGTTACCTTCCGCTGAGCACTTGAAGGAAATGTTTTTTTTTTTAGAGAGAGAGAGAGAGAGAGAGAGAGAGAGAGAGAGAGAGAGAGAGAGAGAGAGAGAGAGAGAGAGTGGGGGTGGGGGTGTTCGTGCGTGTGTGTCCAGACCTACCGTTGGCTTAGAAGATGTCGTGTGCCGACACTCACCATTCGTCCAGACGATGCCCCAGCCGTGGCCGTGGTGTTTGATGCCGCGGCTGGGCGAGTGGGCCGGGGGCCACTGGCGGGCGGCGCCGGCCGGCCAGGCCACTCCGCTCATGGCGTACACAGCGTGGCGTCGGCCGTCGCTGGTGACCGCCCAGGGGCCGGACGGGCCGGCGGCAGAGGCGGCTGCCCACGGCCGGCCCAGGCGGCCGTACCGCAGCTCGTAGCGCCGGCCCAGTCGGCCGAGGTCAGCGAGCGTACGGCGCCGGAGGGCGTACAGCCAGTGAGCGGCGCCCGAGTTGCCTCCGGGCCGCCAGTGCGGCCGTGCTGAGGGCACGATGACGATCAGAGGCCTGGCCGCTGGGGAGATAGCCGGTCCCGCCGAGTTACAGTCCATACAGGGTAATGGCGAGTCAGGCAGAGTTACACTTCCCTCTCACTGTAACCCCCCCCCCCAGTCAGAACTACCCTCTCACTGTGACCCCTCCCCCCATTTAGAACTCACCGGCCGCGGCGCCAGCCGCCCAGCCGACCAGCGTCAGGACGAGCGCGGCCCTGATCATTGTGCTGGTGTCGGCTGGTGCTGCTGGCTGCTGTCGGCTGGTGCTGCTGGCTGCTGTCGGCTGGTGCTGCTCGCTGCCGTCGGCACGGCCGTGTCCGCGCGCGGTCTCTGGCCGCTGCCGTCCACCCACCGGTGTTATATGGACCGGCTATCGCCGTGTCTTCCTGTCGGCCGCCTCAGTGTGCAACGCTGAGTCAGCGCGGCCCGGCACCGAGTCACCGCGGCCCGGCACCGAGTCACCGCGACCGAGTCACCGCGAGCGACCGAGTCACCGACCACCGAGTCACCGACCACCGAGTCACCGCGACCGACCGAGTCACCGCGACCGAGTCACGGCGACCGAGTTACCGCGCCGGCACCATTCCGGGCCACCGCGCATGGCTTATTCTAACAAACTTTTACTGCGTCCCAAAGTTGAGCAGAGGGCACGTGCTACGACTAAGGGCACAGGGCAAGGAACAGAGTAGGGCACTGAGGAGGGCAGAAAGTAGGGCACGGCAGGTTACAGGGCATGGCACAGGACATTTTAGAGGGAAGGGTACAGGTCAGGGCAGACAGCAGGGCACAGGTCAGGGAACCGGACAGGGCACAGGGCAGGTACGCAGTGGGTCAAATCAGCAGGGGCTACGTCCCAAGGCGAGGGGGCTGCTTCCCAAAATGGGACACAGTAAGTGCCTTAGAATATGCCCTGCGGCACCGCGCCAGCACCACTCCGGGACACTGCTGTACGGACCACTCCGGGCCACCGCTGTACGGACCACTCCGGGACACTGCTGTACGGACCACTCCGGGCCACTGCTGTACCGGACCGGAACACCTGCAAACCGCCGGATATCTACAGGGTCGAAAGTAAGTACTAATTACGCGAACATGTATTTTCTAACAATTTCGCCCGTCAGTGGAGATTTTGTGTGAGCGTGGACTGTCATGGGACATGGTTGGTCGTGTTTATTGTCGCCTCATCTACCAAAAGCGACCTGACTTTTGACGATGACCTGGTTCAGGCCTTTAACTCGCGCCATGCTGGGAGGTAGGGGTGTTTGAACAACCCCTGTGTTTTTTCGCGAATATCTAAAAACCAGTATAACGCCTTTTGGGGCGACTAACGGAGCGAGCGAGAGGGTGAGCCTTGCACGTGCGAAATTTCGAGGGGGTGCCTCCAGCTGACTTGTGCACGGCACCCTACTAACCGGTCTCTAGCGATGTGCCAAATTTGAGCACAATCGGCCCAGCCGTTCTCGAGATCTGGAAGCGGCACCCTGCACGTGCGCACGTGCAAAATGGGTCCCAACTGACTTTTGCACGGCACCCTACTAACCGGTCCCTAGCCATGTACCAAATTTGAGCGCCATCGGTCCAGCCGTTCTCGAGATCTGGAATCGACCCCTGCACGTGCGCACGTGCAGCAGCACCCCAACTCCGGGACATGGATATGCATTGCCTAGTGGGTGCCTACCTGCATGCCAACTTTCAGCGCAATCGGCCAAGTAGTTACCGAGATATTGCAACAATTACCAAAGTGACACCTCTTCGTTTTGCACGTGGCACGTGCATAAGGGGTCACCCACATGCATCGGGAATAGTCCAATACTTGGTAGAAGGAATGAAGCTACCCTACAAAAATTACCGCATGTAAATCGGTCAAGTGGTTGCTGAGATATAAGCGTCGCAGAATCGTGACCACGGCATACTCAGAAATTTCCGCTATTACGGAGCGAGCGAAGCGAGCGTAGTCTTTCCTGGCTTAGATGAACGGAAATTTCTGAGTATGAGGGGCCGGCCGGCCGGCCGGCCGTGGTCACGCTTTTGCGAGGCTTATATCTCAGCAACCACTTGACCGATTTACACGCGGTAATTTTTGTAGGGTAGCTTCATTCCTTCTACCAAGTATTGGACTATTCCCGATGCATGTGGGTGACCCCTTATGCACGTGCCACGTGCAAAACGAAGAGGTGTCACTTTGGTAATTGTTGCAATATCTCGGTAACTACTTGGCCGATTGCGCTGAAAGTTGGCATGCAGGTAGGCACCCACTTGGCACTGCATATCCATGTGCCAGAGTTGGGGTGCTGCTGCGCGTGCGCACGTGCAGGGGTCGTTTCCAGATCTCGAGAACGGCTTGACCGATTGCGCTCAAATTTGGTACACAGTTAGGGACCGGTTAGTAGGGTGCCGTGCACAAGTCAGTTGGGACCCATTTTGCACGTGCGCACGTGCAGGGTGCCGCTTCCAGATCTCGAGAACGGCTGGGCCGATTGTGCCCAAATTTGGCACGTCGCTAGAGACCGGTTAGTAGGGTGCCGTGCACAAGTCAGTTGGAGGTACCCCCTCGCAATTTCGCACGTGCAAGGCCCACCCTCTCGCTCGCTCCGTTAGTCGCCCCAAAAGGCGTTATACTGGTTCTACGTAAGACTCCGCTCGCTTCGCTCGCTCCGTAAAAAAACGGCGGCGCGGTGCGTCGCAATTTTTGACACACCTTATCATACTAGAAGTGAAATACTAGAATGGAAGTGATTTGAAAAAAGAAGCTGGGTCATTCATAACATAATATTTGAGTGAAGATAGTCCAATCGAAGTCCCTGGCTCACAACCACCGGTTTCGGCACTCGCAACATTCAGAAATGCCTTAAATCGAAAATATTTTATTTCAAAGTTGCAGCACTTGGATTCAAGGGGCTAATGCATTTGAATGCCCCCTCTGACTTTGTGACGTCAGCGCAGGTCTAGCGATTTTTAAATCTTATATGTCCTACTAAAACTTCGGTAAAGCTGTGACGGTATATACTGCATTGCGCATTACTAAAATTAGGTATGTGCACTATGAATAACTGATCCTCTTTCTAAACCTTTCAACAAACCCTTAGCTCAGGCAGGTTTCCTTCTTCTTGAAAGAAAGCATGGGTCACATCACATCTATATTTAAACACTGATATTAGTTGTCGGACTTTCGTCCCCGTCTTGAGTTGAGACGTTAGTTTTAGTGGAACTAACGTCTTTCACAGAGGTCAGGTCACTTAGGGTCAAAATATGAAAATATCATGTGATGCATGTTTTATGGTCCATTTTATATGCCAAATGCGATTATGTGGGTCAGGCAGCCTTAGGGGTCAGTTAAGATTATGTTCTGGTGAAGGTCAGGTCAAATTTAGTCAAATTAAGTCAACTTTCAAATTAAAGATTTTTCATAATATGCGTAGGTATCGATTCGATGCAGCTTGTCACGGGGAGTTCAATGGTGGTCTTTGTTTTACGCTACGTGGTCTACAATTGCTAAAAATTGAGTTTAAAAATTTGAAGTTATTAATTTTGAACAGTTTTTCGCTATAACCTGGCCAAAAAATGATATTTCTATCTAAAATTTGGTATGTTGATAGAAGAGCGCAGGGGCTATTGCTCATTTTCCGTTTTTTCGAAGTTCGAAAAACTTTTGGAATTATTTGCGTTTTTCTAGAAATATTTTTTTTTGGGGGGGGGGCAAATTCCAAAAATTCTGAAAATTCGAGATAGCAGTTTTGTAGCGCCGTCTTTCTCTACATGACCATATATACAGCTTTGAAATTACTTGGTAACTGTAGCTTTTGTAGGCGTTTAAAGATTTCATGTTTTTTGCTCATTTTTTATCGAACATGACCTCAGTTTGACCGCAGTAACTCCTGACCTAACCCGCGCCATGGTGGGGTCTGTTTATAACGCGACCTGGTGGGGGGGGCTATTTTTTGCCCCCCCCCCCCCTCGTATCTCCGAAACTACTGGACGGATCCGCAAAATTCAAACGGCGTTCGAAAGGCCTGTCAAATTTGTCGAAGGAAACCAAATTTCATTGACCTCGGGGTCACCGATGACGTCACAGGTCAGGTCAAAGATGAAATGTTTCACCGTTCACGGGTCTACTAGGGAATGCGCTATAACACCGAGGAAAACGCATTTTGTCGAGAATCAGCGATAGGGCGTCAGTTGCCTAGTAGATATGTTGCTATTAGAGGTCACTGACAATACCAGGTCAGGTCACAGGTCAGGTCACCAAGGGTCACAGGTCAGGTCACATGAGCCCAACTTTACTAAGGTTGTGTGATGCATGTTTTATGGCCAATTTTTCATTTCCAACTCAATGGTGTTGGTTATAAGACTATCAGGTACGGCTTAGGTTACTTTCTGGTGAATTTCAGGTCAAGGTCAGGTCAAGGTCAGGCCAAAAAAGGTCAAATTTTAAAGTTGATAGTTTTGCATAAAATGGATATTGATTCGATGCAGCTCGTCACGGGGAGTCTAATGGTGGTCTTTGTTTTGCGCTACGGCGTCTAGAATTGCTAAAAATTGAGTTTGAAAATTTGACGTCATCAATTTTGAACAGTTTTTTCGCTATAACTTCGCCAAAAAAAGAGGTATCAATCTAAAATTTGGTATGTGGATGGAAGGCGGTAAGGACTATCACATATTTTCCGGTTTTTGCGAAATTCAAAAAACTTTTTGGATTTTTCGACTATTATATCCAAAAAATCTATTTTTGATTTTTGGGGGTCAAAATCAAAAAAAATAAAAATCCGAGATGACAGTTTTGTAGTCCTGTCAATTCTACAGCTTTTATGTCCTTATCATTTTTCTGTATTTGCAAAGCTATAGGCCTGACAGCTCTTCCCACGAAACCCTTTTTTGGGTCGAAAACGGCAGAACATGACGTCACTCTGACGTCATTTCCGGTCAACCTATCATAGCTTTTGGAAAAATTTTTGGTCACAATGTGTAAAATTGATGTCCGGGAGGGTACTGAAAGTTTGGTGACGATCGGCGCAGCGGTTCTGGAGATATATTGAAAAGTCTGGAGGGGGGTAAAAAATAGCCCCCCCCCCCACCAGGTCGCGGGCTAAGGTGACCTAAGACTTGATGTTTTGTGTGAAGGTGTCAAATTGATGCCCGGCAAGGTACTGAAAATTTGGCGGCACTGCGCGTCGCGGTTTTCTTCCTATTCAGCAAAAACTACAGGGGGGGGGGGGCAAATTGGCCTCCCCCAACGGGACGAGGGTTAACACGTGCAGTGGAAGGGGGGTCGGATTTCGCCCACCCCTCCTCTTTTTCGCCAATAACTCGGACGGCAAACATAATATTAATGTGAAATTGGGGCTACCTGTCCGGCATTGAATTGCGGATCTTCTCGTGCAAGAAATAAGAAAATCGGTTTACAACTTTTCTAGTAATAGCGGTGTAGAGTCAAACATCCTGCCGGAGCGGCGGCGCGGCGCGGCGGCCGGCGCCAGCCGTTACGCGCCGCCTGAATTGTAGACTGTGCCGGGGCGGGACGGTTCCGTCTTTACATCGCGCTCCTTACCGCTGATTATATTCGATTCGCGTCAAAATTGTGAGGAGACTAAGAAATGTACAGGCAATCTTATTGTAGCCGCTCCCGACCCGATCGTCCACTCCGGAGACGCGTCCGGAAACTCGGCGCTGATAAGTGTCGTTTATTACACAATCAGCCAGACCATGACGGTTTCTGCAAACAACGATAAACGATTACCCAAATAAGAACAAAAATTAAAACTGGGAAGACAATTTGAGACTTTCTTGCAAGATTATGAGCTGAGATGCTACGCGCATTCTGGCGTCCTAACCGGGAGGTTCGGGCCACCGGCCGAAACCTCGGGCGGCCGGTCCTCGTTCGGAAGGCCGGCCCAGTGATTCTAACTCGGTACAATGATGCTTTCATTGAAAGTCCTCTTCAACAAGTTTTCTTTTTTTCGCGCGAGGTCGAAACTTTAACAGCAAATTGCATTTGAACAGAAAAATATTATTTGTCTTATTTCATGGAGCATGATTGAGTTTACCACAATAAATATGTGCCCAAGTGACCTCCATGAAGTAAGATGTTGGCCGCTTATGCGGTACCTGGGCTCTAAGAGAGCTCAAGGTAGATCCCAGCTACGAGCATTGTTCTCAATATCGAGAAAAGGATATGAAACATGACACCGGCTCATACCTTCCGGGCCATGGCCCATACCTCCCGGTGTATTTTGATGGATCGAAAAAGCGCATGATTTAACAAAAGTTATCCCGAAAAAAAAAATAGTTGGTGCCAGATGCCTAATACCAGGTACACTTTCTAGGCGAAAGACGATATCACGCACACAGAGAAAAAAAAACAGGTCTAGCCACTGCCCACTGGAAGATGATAGCTATTTCAGCCATTGGTCAGGTCAAAGGTCAGGTCACCAGAGGTCATTGAAGGCAAAATTTCGCCGATTTTAGGTCAATGTCGACAATTTCCAAGAAGCCAACGCATAACTCGGGAACCAGTAGAGCTACAGCGCCGCGGAAAAGCGCATTCGATAGCCCTATTAACGCATTTTCTGAATGATTCTTTCAGATTTGACCTAGAGTCAACGATTGCCAAAATAGCCGATTTTTCGGAAACAGTTTTTCTGTAATAACTTTTGACTCAAGCCTTGCATGCATTAGCTTGCTTTCTGTTCAAATGCAATTTGCAGTTAAAGTTTCGACCTCGCGCGAAAAAAAAAGAAAACTTGTTGAAGAGGACAGTCAATGAAAGCATCATTGTACCGAGTTAGAATCACTGGGCCGGCCTTCCGAACGAGGACCGGCCGCCCGATGTTTCGGCCGGTGGCCCGAACCTCCCGGTTAGGACGCCAGAATGCGCGTAGCATCTCAGCTCATAATCTTGCAAGAAAGCCTTAAATTGTCTACCCAGTTTTCATTTGTATGCTTTAAACTTTATGTTAGCGATGGTCTGACATAAAAAACGAGCCTGGTTCATATTGGCCGTTTTCACGACGGAACTTTCGCGGTGGAACCTATTTGATACCTGGAAAGTACCAACCCTTTAAGGCCTTAGAATCCTTACAACTTAGTCTTTTGCCTTCAAAATATTTTTAAAAGTTGTAATTCAGGCGATTTTGGCCATTAAATCGCTTATTTATTTACAAACAGTCAATTTTCGGTTCTAGTAGCCCACCTTTCGACTATGGGGGATCAAATCAGCCTGGTAACTACATAGATACCCGGCTTCTGTTTCACCGGCCCGACGCTGCGCGCGCCCTGGTGGTGACCAGGCGCAACAAATCCGCCGCCGCCTTAGCAGTGACATTGACTTCCGCCGTCTGCTGCGGTTCCAAAGTCAAGCCAGCGTGGAATTGGGAGAGCTCGGTCAGCCATGGTGGTGCCCGGCGCATCAAATCCGCCGCCGCCTTAGCAGTGACATTGACTTCCGCCGTCTGCTGCGGCTCCAAAGCCAAGCCAGCGTGGAATAGGGAGAGCTCGGTCACCCGCAGCTGGCAGCTCAGTATATTTCCTTATCATTGTACTAGCATTATATAGATATGCTAATTTCATAAACGTGCTTACGCTTTAGGTTTACGTGAGTGGTAAACCCTTAGATAAAATAAATGAATGTAATATTTAGTAGAAAAACAGCAAAGTAACGGGTCCCTTATTCGACAGGTAGAAAACCTACTACAGAGAACTACTAAAATTCCTGAGGCATCAAAGGAAACTACTAAAATTCCTGAGGTATCAAAGGGCCAAACAGACATCTATTAGGTACCCGCTATTCCGTCGTGAAAACGGCTATTAATCACGTATTTTCTGTAAGTACCGTATTTTACTCAAAGAGGACAAAAACGTTTTATCGCCGCTCATTGCCAAAGAAGACTGAGGAAGATTTTAGAAATCACGTGGGCTGTACCTATAATGAAATGGATGCTACCAATGTACACGGTAAAATGTGTAAAAATACGCATCACTTCTTCAAAATTGCGATGGCCGATACCTCCCGGGGGCCCATTCCTCCCGGGTCTCCCCTATAGGTTTTATTACACTTCCACAAACTTCATTCTATCATCCATGTCGTGCTAGAAGTGCCAATCCGCCCAGTGTGCGCTGTCCGACTCGGAACGATTGCCCCCCCCCCCCCCCCCCGGTCCACTCGGGTTGGGAGAAGGGTAACAGTAGGTACACCGCATGCAAAGTCGGAACTTTTCAGCTGGAGTCGGCAAACAGCACACTATGTAGATGTGACGAGCAGCAGCCATCCCCCATCGGGCAGGGCGGAGTGGGTGGGGGGGGGGGCTGCCAGATGTGGGGGCGTGGCCGGCCATTGGCTGACAGGCATGTGGCCGGACCTGCCGAGCGCTGTGAGCCGCACCGGGCCGTCAGTCCAGCCACGGCAGCAGAACGGACTGCCAGTCCAGCCACGGCAGCAGAACGGACCGCCAGTCCAGCCACGGCACCAGGTGGGAGCGGACAGCGGTAAGCGGCGGCCTCAGCCCCAGGCACACTTAGCGCCCGTGCAATACCGCCGGGATAATATTGCGAAATTAGTACATTCATGATGTGGTCGTAGCCACTCAGTGTGCCTACATATCGTATCGCGCCGGCGCATTTCAATCGAATTTCGTCTGCAGCTTCGTAATGCTCGTATGCTAATGAACCCTATTATGTTAATGAGAACAATGCTCTCCACCAAACCGTGTTGGTTTGAATGGCGTTGTTTGGCCGGCCGGCCAGTGTGACTCTAGGAGACAGCCATGGAGCGCGCCGTCGAGGTGGAACACCGCAGCTTCAGTCGTCCGTCGCCCTACCTGGACGGAGCCCGCACCCAGCACGAGTCCGACTTCAAATACGCCAGGTGCGAGCCGCAGCGCAGCGCAGCGCAGCGCAGCGCAGCGCCCCCGCCCACCCGGCGCCATGACGCCGGTCACTTCTCGTCTCCCCCGTCCCTCCCTCCCCTTGTTGAAATCCCTTACATTACACATGTCATCCCTATCTCTGGACGAATCTAGGCTTTTTGAAGGCTGCTTAGAGATGCATCTAAAGTATGTTGTCCTCGGCATTGTGTCCAATAAAAAGACAATATATCCACCGGAATGGAGCTCTGGATAAATTGAGCCTCAAGGAACATTAAGTACACTTTTAAGTTTTGAGCTAAAAAAGGGGTTCAACCCTCGCTCGTATTGGTGTTTTGCCAGCTGCGAACGTGTAGGACGTCCCCTCGCCGTTTGGCACCAGATTGAGCTATCAGCTAGACATTCGTGGAAAAAACGACCGTGCTGCCCACCCGTGACGAGAGGAAGCCGATGATACCCAATTTTAAGACCCTAGGTCATTGGTTGACCTTTCAGGTCAGGCAGTGGCGCGGGAACTTCTTCCAGACTGGGGGGGCTGAACCATCATAGAGATCAACCTAGGGTACCCCCAAATCTAGTTTTCTCATCGGTTTTAGGCCACTTATTTTTCAGACCTTGGCCTTTTCAACGAAAAAAAAGAAGAAAATATTTGCAAAAAAGTGAGGTATTCCGTCTCAGCTGAGTGAAGAAACTACCGTTTTGGCAACCTGGAATAAAGGTTTTAAGCTGCCAAATGAGTTGCCGAGTCAGTAAAATAGGTAGATTTTTCACTTACATGCTTTCTTTCTTTGTGACTCACAACCCCTAATTTGGGGAGGACAAGCTGCCCCAACGGTTCCTGGCCTCATGAAAAGTTGTGAGGCACCGCCCCCACGGCCCCAGAGTTGTGAGGGCAAGCTTCCCCCACTGCCCTCTCCCCCAGTTCCCGCGCCTATGTAGGATCTATAAAATTATGTTGGTAGATTTCCGATTTCGATTCCTCCAGCTGGGGGGGCTCAAATACATTACGAGCCCCCCCAGCCGAAAAGTTGGAGGGGCTCAGCCCCCCTAGCCCCCCCCCGGTTCCCGCGCCACTGAGGTCAGGTCAATGACCTAAAAAATCGGGAAGATCGGGACCTGTTAAAACGTCGTTGAGTGTGGCTGCTACCAGTGTTTTTTTCGGGGTGTTTATCACGAATATCATGTTAGTTTTGATCACATATGATGTCTTCGAGCATTTAGGCCAGGGTGGGTCAGGTCAGGTCATGTCAACCAATAGGGGTCCTGCCGGGTATTTATAGTACGTGTCAACCGCCTCTGACAGCTTCGTAACATGTAACAAAGGCACCTTAACACTTCGTAAATGTTCAAATGGTTGCTAAATTCAAATTAAGCTAAAAAACTAGCCTAAAACATGTAAAACTCGAAAAAGTGAACCGAGGTCATCAACGGTCAATGGCCTGACCTGACCTTCAGGTGACCTTGACACCCAACCTAATGCATGGGTCCAACATCAAATCACATGTTTGAACGCTTGAAATCACGAAAAGACCGCAAACGCTCGGCTAATGCGAGCCGACATACGCCGAATCACGATTCCGGCCTAACATGGTTTCGAAAAATAGGTCACAGGTCAAAGATAATTTGGGTCAGGGTCATAAAATTTTCAGGGTAGTTGTAACATTGATTAAATCGAGGGTACTCAAAGTTTCCATGCGATCGGTCGCTTTTTACGCGAGTTATTCGTGAAAACCGAGGGTGTCTGTTCGCCCCCCCCCCCCCCGATACGGGCGAGGGTTAATAGCTTGAGCTAAAAACACCAATCAGAAGTTTTTTATTGCCCAGCAATCACCCTAGGAAGATAGCCACACATTTCAGTATGAGTTAGGATTTTCCTTCATCCTGTAATGTGACCCTCATCCCAGACATGGCGAAACACCATTCAAACCAAAACCTACTCAGTTTGAAGTTTGCGTCTCTATAGTCAAATTTGCCTCGCAAGGGTCTCTAAATTTCGGTCATGTGAATCAACGAGCTAGATACTTACAACTTTTTTCTTTCAGAAAACAAGCAAAATTAACCACTGTGGTGAATTGTAAGTTTTGCGCCAACATCCTTACTGTTTGGGGTTGAAAAATCGTTAGGGGCGAAAAAGCTCTCAAGTTCGCGCAGGTTAACACATATTGATTAAGTTCTGTTAACCCTCGCTCGCACACGGGGGGCGGACAACCTCGGTTGGAGATTGATATGTTGTTTTCTCCTGACCATAGGTATCAGAATCTGATTAATGGCTCTGTACCCACGGGAGCGGCCGGCGCCACAGACAGTGTCAAGGTGGAAAGGCGCACCAAGATCGTCGACAAGAAGACAATTGGCATCGCTCTGTACGGTCTGGGTCGGGCTGGTGAGTGTCGCCGACGTGTGTGCCGCTGCAGTACCTAGTCCTCGCTGCAGTAGCGACTGTAAAGAGGCCGTACCCTGCACATGCGCTCCTGCAAAGTGAGACCACAACTGTCCCGTGCAGACACCTTATTAAACAATACCCAACGGTGTGTCAACCAGGGGTGCGGAGCCGGAGCCGGAGCCGCCGGAGCCGGCACATTTTTGCCCGGAGCCGGAGACGGAGCCGCCATGACATTTCACCCGGAGCCAGAGCCGGAGCCGGAGCCGATTTTATTTCTCCGAAGCCGGAGCCGGAGCCGAAGCTGTCTGAAATTTCCCTGGTGTCAACTGTTGCCCTGCGCCCCGCATTCCCGGAGCCTGCCACCCGTAGCAGACGCCGATTTCGTCCCCCGATTATCTCAGAAAGCTACCGACCGATTATCAAAATTCAAACAGCTTCTGTAGCCCCACCGGGAAACTACTATGTGACAGAATTTCATCCACCTAGTTGCAATTGAAAACGTCATAGGTCAGGTCAAAGGTCGTATTTTTAACCGTTTACAGGCCTTCTAAGAATTGTGCCATAACATCAAGTAAAAGGCATGTTATCGAAAAATATCGGTAGAGCAATGCTATTTCAAATACATACTTTGCTCAATGAATTCACTGATACCAGGTCAGGTCACATAGGTCAGGTAGGTCACTGTATAAACTAACCTGTATTTGCGTCGCGTGATGCATGTTTTATGGTTAATTCTATATTTCAAATTTAACCCGCGACCGCCTCGGGGGGGGGGGGGGCGGATCCGACCTCCCCTCCGTTTTTCACAAATAACTCACGAACCGCTTACGCTATCAACTTGAAACCTCGTATACCTTCTTCGTTATCAATGTGACGGCTTTTATCAAATTTTTATGCAAATTTTTCAAAAACTTTTTGAGTTATATCGATTTTATTGATGTAACTACATGGCTTTTTTCGTCAAAAATGGAAATGTTTGAAAAATCGCCAAATATTGAGGGTTTAAGCAAATTGCAAATTAAAGACATGAAAAGTCGCAGCTCAAGGAGTTCTTTAAAATGGCCATCTCGCTTTTCCCGTTAAGTGCGTTTTTTACCCCTAAAAATTCAAAAAACTATATTTTTTGGGAAAACAGCTAATAAAATCAAATTTTTCAAAATTTTCAAAAAACCGGAATATATGTCACAGAGCTCTATTAGAACATTAGATGTCCCAAATTTCAACTTTCTTTCTTGATTTTTGACCCCCAAATTGTAAAAAATAGCTCGAACATGTAAAGGGCACGGTGACGTCATACGCATTTTCGTGAGTTTGAGGCACTTCTGAACATCGCATGTGAAAAAAATGGCAGCATTAGATTCCTTGGACAAAACTCGTCTAGAAAAGTGCATTTTTATGTCAAAAATTAAAAGTTTAAAAATTGACTTTTTTTCTTGGTGATGTATAATATAAACGATTTTTTATGTTTGTTGATGACCAGTACAGTGACTTTGGGTTATACAGTGACCATCGGATTCGGCGTGAAAAATAAGCCATAAAACATGTGTCACATGCCCATGTAGCAGAAAGTGAAAACCGTGACCTTTCGTGACCTGACCTGACCTTGACCAGTCCTTAGTATGACCCTTATACGCACATGGTATCTTCACTAGGCCTTTGACGTCATTTTTGGTGAGTTTTGAGCAGGAACTATCGATTCCGCTGTCCGTAAGCCTCATCATGCAAAACCCCAGAATTTGACCTTTGACCTGACCTTGACCCGAAAGTTGAACTCAATCTTAAAAGCTTAAGGGTGTTTTGGGAAGGTCCATTGGGGCCGGATTTTAATTGATTCATTTCAAGATTTGGGAGAACATAAAACAATTATGAAAAATTAAGGCAGCCATTTTGATTTAGCAGGGTACCTATTGGCAGCCTAAGGGGCTTTACTTCATGTGTGTGTGGGTCTATTCTGGGATATGACGAATGATATTGAGATTTGGCAGGCACCAAGCGCGGTCTATTCTGGGACTTTATACGGCTTTTAAACATTAGCCGTTTTTTGTCGAAAACTCAGAAATCATGACTTCACTAAATCCTCGGTCTCTCATGCCAACTGTGATGATATATCGTTTGTATTCGTCATATTCATAAGAACACATCCTTCCAAACTCGATTCTTGTCAAGATCCCTCACATCTCCCCACACTGACCCAGAAAATAAGGCTTTACTTTTTCCACATCTCGTGCACAAAATCACACGTCGACAAATACATCGTACTTCTACTGCACAAAACATCATTCAGTTCACCACGGGTGCCTAATATGTGGCGCTTTCACCTATAGCGCGGAGAGAAAGTGGGTACGTTTAGCGTCTCCCTCGCCGTCTCCCTCCATCACCGTTATACCACAGACAAACAAGCTCGCTCGCTCGCTAGAAAGCTCACAGCTGATGAATATAGACCTGAAAATAACAAAACACATTAAGTGACAGTATAACGTAATTGTCAATTTTTCATGTAACATGATTATGAACTTCTTGATAAAGAATGGTACACACCTACCCTAAATTTATGCATATCGTTCACTCATATGTCCTCAATAATCGAGGAACGTGCCGCCAGAAACTCTGAAGGTGTCCGGTTCTCCTGCAGGTGTCATTCACCTCGGTAACCTGATGATCAACCCGAGGGTGTCGCTGGTGTACACCCTGGAGAGCGACCAGGCGCGCTACGACGCTATGAAGGAGCGCTGGGGTGACAGGATGCCGCCGAACGTGCTGCCGGCCGACAGCGGCGCGGTGCTGGCCGACCCGCGGTCAGTGGCCGGCACACGCGCACACACAGCGCGCCGCACACCGTAATCACAACGGTCCACACGGCTGCCCAGGACCAGCCGCCAATTTGATAGCTTTTAAACCGATATCAGTTCAAGTGTCAATGTCATTCGGTGTCGTCCCCGTGGCCATGCCGTTTCACCGGTGCCCTCTGACACAGGGTGGACGCGGTGATGGTGGCCACTCCCACGCACACGCACTTCGACATCATCCAGCAGGCGCTGCTCGCCGAGAAGCTGGTCTTCTCCGAGAAGCCGATCGGGGAGAACGAGCAGCAGGCGCGGCTGTGCTACCAACTGGCTGAGCAGCGGGGCCTCTCCGTGTTCTGCGCCTTCAACCGGTGGGTGCTCTGGCCGGGGACGTGACACTCAGCGGTGACGGCTGGGTGGTAATGTGGCACTCAGCGGTGACGGCTGGGTGGTAATGTGGCACTCAGCGGTGGCGGGTGACTGGTAATGTGGCACTAGGTGGTGACGGCTGGGTGGTAACGTGGCACTCAGCGGTGGCGGGTGACTGGTAATGTGACGCTAGGTGGTGACGGTTGGGTGGTAATGTGGCACTCAGCGGTTACGGGTGGCTGTTATGCTTCACTTATCGGTAACGGGTAGCTGGTAATGTGGCACTTAGCGGTGACGGGTAGCTGGTAATGTGGCACTTAGCGGTGACGGGTGGGTGGTAATGTGGCACTCACCGGTGGCGGGTGACTGGTAATGTGACGCTAGGTGGTGACGGCTGGGTGGTAACGTGGCACTCAGCGGTGGCGGGTGACTGGTAATGTGACGCTAGGTGGTGACGGTTGGGTGGTAATGTGGCACTCAGCGGTTACGGGTGGCTGTTATGCTTCACTTATCGGTAACGGGTAGCTGGTAATGTGGCACTTAGCGGTGACGGGTAGCTGGTAATGTGGCACTTAGCGGTGACGGGTGGGTGGTAATGTGGCACTTAGCGGTGACGGGTGGGTTTATTGTGGCACTAAGCGGTGACGGGTGGGTGGTAATGTGGCACTTAGCGGTGGCAGGTGGCTGGTAATGCTTCATCCAGCGGTGACGGGTTGCTGGTAATGTGACACTAGGTGGTGATTGGTTGCTGGTAATGTGACATTTCGCGGTGACGGATGTCTGGTAATGCGGCGACATGGAGTAGCGGGCACGGTCGACGTAAAAGGTAAATCGCTAGTGCGTGCTGCGTGAAGTGCACAGACGCTCAGTCGGTTCCAGACTGTTTATTCCCGACACACAGGCCGTCCTCGGCCCGAGCTCTGACGCCACCGCAGCCCCAGGCTATCCATGACACCGGGAAGACGCGCGGCCCCGGCTTGGGTCCGCGCAGGCTGCCCCGACCCGGCTACCCGGGGCCCTGGCTTTGGGCGCGGTCTACCGCATCCCTCCACCACAGATATTTGGGCGAAATCTCTATCGTAGCCTAAGCGCCTGGGCGCCCGGCGCTGGTCGCTCGACCGGAGCGCCCGGCCTGGACGGTCGCCGCCGACGGGTACATCACATGGCACTGCAGCGGGCGGAGCTGCCGGCCCAACACTGGGTGCTAACTCTACATCATCAAACCCTTCCGCCCCGTTCGTCACGCGCATCCTCACACAATCTACATGTCTACGCAACAAATTCCCACTCTCCAAACAAACGACCACTTCGGTTTCCTTGCGGCTTACCACAACCGCTGGCAGCCAACGCACTCCCTCCACCCCGCTCAGTCTGTCCACCGCCGACACGTACACGGCATCACCGGGCACACAGTGGCGCTCCTTAGCCCCGCGGTCCGCCGAGCTCTTCTGAGCGCACTGACGTTGCTCCACACGTCGACGCAAGTCCGGGCGCAGGCTATCCAGATGCGTCCGGAACTGCCGACCGAGAAACAGCTCAGACGGGGATCGCATAGTCGTGCTATGCGGGGTGGCACGGTATTTAAACAAAAAACGCGACACTTTACACAAAACGGAACCGGTTTTCTGACGAGTAAACCCGTGTTTAAATGTCTGAACAGACTTCTCGGCCAAGCCATTGGACTTTGGCGAGTATGGCGGAGTGGTAATGTGCCGAACACCATTCTCCTCACAGAACATTTTAAAACCAGCGCTAACAAAACATTGAGCATTGTCAGACACGACGGTTTTCGGCAACCCCCACCGGGCATATAGAACGCGGAGCGCTTCTACTGTAGCCTCTGTGGTCGCCGCTCGCAGCGGACACACTTCCATCCACTTTGAGAACGCATCGACTACTACCAGAAACATATGTCCATTCAGGGGGCCACAGAAATCCATGTGAACACGCTCCCACGGGGCAGCCGGCCAGGCCCACGGGTGCAGCGGCGAGCTAGGCTCTCGGTTACGCTGCAACTGACACGCGACACACTTACGCACCGTATCCGTGATCTCGCCATCCATCCCGGGCCACCACACGTACATGCGTGCGAACGATTTGGACCTGCTCTCCCCATTATGTCCCTCATGTATCAACTCCAAGACCGCCTTCCGGCCCTGCCGCGGAATGACGATCCTAGACCCCCACATCACACACCCGTCCTGCAGGCTAAGTTCTCCTAACCGCGCCTTATACGGACGGAGCTCAACCTGTTCTACGTCCACCTCTGGCCAGCCGTTCTGAACAAACTGATACACCTGGGACAGCGTCGGGTCTCTGGCGGTCCAAAGACGGATCTGATCTGCGGTGACCGGCGAGGAGTTGAGAAACTCGAGTAAGTTTATGAGCTCAGCGGGACACGGAGACTCTGCTGACAGGCACGGCACGGGAAGCCGACTCAGCGCGTCACAGTGAGGTATTTTACTACCCGCCACGTGCTGCAGCCGGTAATCATACCCCGCCAGAAGCATCGCCCATCGCATCACACGGGGCGACGCCATCACCGGAAGCGATTTCTGTTCCCCAATCAGTCCCAACAGAGGTTTATGGTCCGTGCGGATCACGAATGACCGACCGGCCAAGAAATAATTAAATTTCTTGACCCCGCTCACCACAGCCAGGCCCTCCCTGTCCGTCTGTGAGTAACGAGCCTCTGTACTGTTCAAAGATCGGGAGTAAAATGCCACCGGTCTCTCGCCGTCACCGTGTACCTGGCTCAGAATGCACCCGATTCCCACGGGGCTGGCGTCGCATGTCAGGACCACGGGGAGGGACGAGTCAAAATGAGCCAGCACTGCGGGTTTCAGCAGCAATTCTTTTGCTGTCTGAAAAGCACGCATCTCGGTCTCAGACCACACCCACGGTGCATCACGTCGCAGTAAGCGGTACAGGGGTGAGAGCACGGACGCCAAGTTCGGTATGAACTTTGCATAATAGTTGATCAGACCGAGCCACGATCTCAACTTCGAGACGTTCTGCGGCTCCGGCGCGTTACGGATGGCAGATACCTTCTCCTCAGTCGTCTCGACACCGCGCGCGCTGATCCTGAACCCCAGATACTCGACACTGGGCACGCCGAAACTGCATTTGTCCCGGTTCACTCGGAGGCCGGCGTCACTGAACCGCCGCAGAACCTCCCGGAGGGCACGGTTATGCGCCTCCATGTCACGGCCGGTGATGATCACATCATCTAAAAAGACTCCCACGCCCTCGATGCCAGCCAACAGCGTCTCTATCGTCCGCTGGAACAAACTCGGCGCTGCCGAGTACCCAAAACTGAGCCTGGTCGGCCGCAGCAAGCCGCGGGGCGTGTTCAGAGAGAGATACTGACGCGACTCTTTCTCCAACACCAGCTGATTGTACGCTGACTTAAGGTCACATTTCGAGAACACTGTCCCCCCGGTCAGTCGCGACATTAAATCCTCGACGCGAGGGAGGGGGTATTGATCTGCCCTAGCCGCCTTATTCACAGTCAAGCGGTAGTCGCCACACAACCTCACACCCTTTCCCCCAGCCTTAGGCACCACCACGAGCGGTGCAGCCCACTTACTATGTGCGACGGGTTCCCAGAGTCCTTGTTTCACTTGCCGATCCAGCTCCTGCTCCACTTGATCCCGATACGCCAACGGGACGACGCGCGGTTTGAAAAACCGGGGTTGGACGTCTGGATCGACATCCACCGTGACCGGCTCACCTCTGAAGCATCCCAGCTCCCCGTCGAACACGTCTGGGAACTCAGCCAGCACCGCGTCCACCCGCGAGCTGGCCGTCATGACGCACACTGACGACCAGTCCAGCCGAATGCGAGCGAGCCAATCACGCCCGAACAGGCACGGACCGCCACCGCGAACGATCACGAGCGGCACACGGACCGATGTGTCACCATACTGCACATCGACCATCACCTGACCGCACACACCGATCGTTCCACCGCTATATGTTTTCAGAGTCTGCTCACAGCGCTCCATGGGCGGACCGCCGGTCGGCCAGAGCCTCTTGAACGCGCGCTCCGAGCAGACGGAGACGGCAGCTCCCGTGTCGAGCTCCATCTCCAGCAGTTTGCCGTTCAGCCGCACCGGAACGATGTACGGCCCGCAGCGCTGAGGCCGCCTCGGTGCCACTCCCTCAGCTCCCTCCGTGCGATGCACGCCGCCGCCGGGCCCGCCGGCAGACTCACGATCAGCCGAGCGCCCCGCGCCACTGCCAGCTGCCGCCGCCGCCGCCGCGCCAGAAGCAAGAGCGCCGACCTTAGGCTCATCGGAGCCACCCCCGTGGGGTTCACTCGCAGCAAACGTAGCAGCGCCCACACCCACGCCGCCACCAGCTGCGCACCGCTCGACTGTGTCCTCCGAGCGAGCGGTCGCGGCCTCCGAGAGCGGCGAGACACCGGCACTGTAGACTCCGAACAGAGCATACACATCCTCCTCCACTCTCTCCGGGCTCCTCGGCTCCGCCGCAGCTGCACCGGAAGCTGTGGAATGCTCTGCCGACTCCACTTGAACCGCCCGGACCGCCGGCGTGCGCCGTCGGCAGGCCACTCGCAAGTGACCCACCTCCCCGCAAGAAAAACAGCGCCGGAAGCGAAACGGACACACGGCCGGCTCGTGTCCTCTCTGCCGGCAGCGGTGACACTGAGCTCGAGCGCCACCCGTCGCCGCCACTCGGGACGGACTCCGCCGCGGTCGGCGCTCCTCCACCCGATGGACGGGCTGCAGATCCGCTCGCTCTGATGACACGGGACTGCTGCGATTCAGCTCACTGGCGTTGGCAGCCGCCGATTCGAACGCCTGAGCGATCGCGAGCGCAGAGCTGAGAGTGAGATCCTCCGTGCTGAGCAGTCTGGACTGAAGTCTGGGATTCCGGATTCCACAGACCAGCCGATCTCGGAGCATTTCGTCGAGCACCTCCGCGCTGAACTGACATGGCCGCGCCAGTCGCCTCAGAGTCGCAGCATAAGCTGAGACTGACGCACCGTCCTCGCGATCACACGTATGAAATCGGTAACGTGCCAAGATCCGAGACGGCGACGGCTCAAAATGCTCCGACAGCACCTTTACCAGGTCTCCATACTTCACGTCTGTCACTGAGGCCGGAGCGATCAAATCCTCCAACAGCGCAAACGTCACCGGCCCGATAGCACTCAGGAAAATCGCGCGGCGTTTCACGTGTTGTGACGCGTCAACATCGTTCGCCACAAAATACTGTTCCAGCCTCCGAGTATAACCACCGAAACACTCAACACCCGCGTCGAACTCGGGCGCCCGGGCCAGCGCCATACCACACGTGAGTTCGGTCCTTGTCGCCACTGAAGTGCACAGACGCTCAGTCGGTTCCAGACTGTTTATTCCCGACACACAGGCCGTCCTCGGCCCGAGCTCTGACGCCACCGCAGCCCCAGGCTATCCATGACACCGGGAAGACGCGCGGCCCCGGCTTGGGTCCGCGCAGGCTGCCCCGACCCGGCTACCCGGGGCCCTGGCTTTGGGCGCGGTCTACCGCACTGCGTATACTGCATGCTGCAACCATGCAATGTCCTAGAAGGTGTCGGCTTGTATGCTCGACTTATGCCAAACGCCATTACTCCCAATGCCAGCAGTAGAGGGCGAGGTTCTCTGCAGTTGGCTCCGTTGCGCCGTTGGGCTGCAGCTGGGAGGCGGCGGTGTGCTGACGGGGTAGTGGTGTGCTGACGGGGTGACCGTGTGCTGACGGGGTGGTGGTGTGCTGACGGGGTAGTGGTGTGCTGACGGGGTGGCCGTGTGCTGACGCGGTGGCCGCGTGCTGACGGGGTGGCGGTGTGCTGAGGGGGTGGTGGTGTGCTGACGGGGTGGCGGTGTGCTGACGGGGTGGCGGTGTGCTGACGCGGTGGCCGCGTGCTGACGGGGTGGCGGTGTGCTGACGGGGTGGCGGTGTGCTGACGGGGTGGCCGTGTGCTGAGGGGGTGGCCGTGTGCTGACGGGGTGGCGGTGTGCTGACGGGGTGTTGGTGTGCTGACGGGGTGGCGGTGTGCTGACGGGGCGGTGGTGTGCTGACGGGGTGGCCGTGTGCTGACGCGGTGGCCGCGTGCTGACGGGGTGGCGGTGTGCTGACGGGGTGGCGGTGTGCTGACGGGGTGGTGGTGTGCTGACGGGGTGGCCGTGTGCTGACGGGGTGATGGTGTGCTGACGGGGTGGTGGTGTGCTGACGCGGTGGCCGCGTGCTGACGGGGTGGCGGTGTGCTGACGGGGTGGCCGTGTGCTGACGGGGTGGCCGTGTGCTGACGGGGTGGTGGTGTGCTGACGCGGTGGCCGTGTGCTGACGCGGTGGCCGTGTGCTGACGCGGCGGCGCCCTGTCGCTGCAGGCGGTTCGACCCGGCCCTGCAGACGGTGCGCAGCGGAGTGCGGCGCGGCGACGTCGGTGTCGTCCACACCATCAAAACGGTGGCGCGCGACTCACCGCTGCCCTCCATCGACTTCCTGCGACAGTCCGGTCCGTTTGGCGCCGTCTTATATCCCGCGCCCGGGGTCTCAGCCAACTTCGCCATTATATTGGCCAACCGATTTATCTAAAGATAAACTAGGAATGCTAGAAAGACTCTGAAAGAAGACATGCATAGATAGCTCGTTACAAAATATTTCAGATTTATAATGATAATGATTCGCTCAGGCTATCCTTGATATGACTGGAGAGTGGAGGTGACCAAAGATAACAATATAACGAAAATGCTTCCCCGTTTCAACATTTTTTCTTCACAAATCGGTGTATATCTCGTGAACCAAAAGAGCTAGGGAGTCAGGGAAAGCGCGTTCATCACCACTTCAAAGTTCTTTCGCTGCCCTGTCCTCAGATTTGAACGCTTGGCAAGCAGAGTAGACCAAAGTAGACAGATTTTTCCGAAACAATTTTCGACGTCTTTTTGGGGTTACTTTGGCGTCAATGAATGCGTATCGTTTATTGACCCAGTATAGTGTGTCTCTCATTGAGACGCATCGAAAAAAAATCGAGGAAACTACGTAAGTTGACTTAACCCTCGCCCTGGCAGGGCATTTTTCATAACACGACCTGGCAGGGGGGGGGCGGTTGATGCGACCCCCCTCGCGATTGGCTCCTATGGCACCTAGAAACACCAAATTTGGTAGGTAGGTGGCCCCCTGAAGTTCTCGCCCCTGTGCAAATTTGGTTGCTCTAGGTCAATATTTAGGGGGGTTTGGGGGGTATAAATGTAAAAATTTCGCTAAAAACAGGTCAAAAGTTTTTCGCTTATATCTTTTGATCTAATTAAGATAGAGAAAAAAAGCACCAGTGAACTCAGCACGGCAAGGCGCGTCGAATGATATACTTTTTGCTTGCTTAAGTGTACTTAAAGTTTTTCTTAATTTTTAAGTAAACACTAAGTAATTAATTAAGTTCAAGTTAACCAAATTGCATCATATCGCATATCATTCGTTTGGCTGATCACCAGGAACACAATGACACCATTTTGTAAGCTCTAGCGTCATTATGTGCCAAGTTATTGGCAAAAACGTCATTTGACCTCAGTTGACCAACGGACCTCAGTTCCGCGATCACTCCCCGCCATGCCTGCCATGCCAACGGAACAGCCGAGCGTGCCTGCTTTGCCGGGAACATTTCTTTGAGGTGCATGGTGATTGCGCTCTTGAAAGCCCTTAACTCCTTCTGCTGTTTTTAGAACTCCAACTGCTGGAGACCGCTGCTCCAGAGCGGTTCTTTGGGAGCGGTTTGGATGCCACATTTTGAGCGGGGAGACGTCACTGCGGACTTTGAAGCTCCCAAGTGGCTTTATTAAGCGGAGTGGGTGGATTTATTAAGCGGATTTATAAACTATGGGTATCTATGGAGAAAATCCGTGAACAGCTCAAGCGGCCACAATAAGCGGCTGGACTTATTATCCGAGAATTTATTAAGCGGATTCTACTGTATATACTTTTTGAAATTTTCAAAAATTTGAATATCTGAGATAGCAGTTTAACCCTCGCCGGACCTATTGGTTTTCTCCTTACGCGCCGGCCGTGGGGGAAGGGCGGGTACGACCCCCCCCCCCCCTCGCCGTTTCGCCCCTGGTGAAGCTAGCGCGTCGCGGAAAAAACGAGCGTGTGCGCCGTTACAAGACGCAGAGATTGATATCCGATTGTAAGGTCCTAGGTCCACTGGTGACCTCTGAGATCAGGTCAAGTGTCCCAAGGTACGGCTCAGTTTTGGGCGAATAACTTCTCTAAAAACGGCCGCAGAGCCGCGATTTTGGCAGCATCGTGTTTGACTCGCTCAGGTGCGTCGAACGATATACTTTTTTGTTTCGGTCAGGTCAAGTTAGGGTGTTGACCTCAGGTCACGGTCAGGTCAGCGCCCCCAGATCACGAAGCTGGTCGAAAGAGGTCATGCCGCATATCATTCGATTCGGCAGGTCTTCCTGAGTGAGTCCATCGGTGGCTTTCCCGACTCGCTAGCTCAATTTGATCGGGAATTACTGACGAAAAACTAATATGACCTTGATGACGTCATAAATGACGTCACGCAAGGTCAACATTGCAAAAGTTACGCATCTAACCTTGCAAGGAGTGCATCAAATCACGATTCTGTGTGCTTGAGTTAGTTGGAGATCGTTCCCGGCGCCAGAATAGCAGTTTTCATTTTTCCCATTGACTTATAATGGTGAGGTCACGAAAATAACCTGACCTCATATGACCTTTAGGAAAAATCTGAGATATAAAAGATGTGAGACTCGTAATGGATACTAGATCCTGCAAGTTTCATTTCTCTGTGAAAGCTTCTCTGGCAGTGAGGGCGTTGCGAAGTTGCAACATCTGAAGACCGTGCAGAGCTTCACTTATGACGTCATAGGTCAGTGACCTGACCGTACTAAAAAATGCGGTTGGTGTCAAAAGATCCGGCTTGAAGTAAAGGTCAGGTATGCCAAGTTTTAGCTCTCTATCGCTAGCGTGTTCGGAGCTATCGCGAAAAAAAATATGTGTGGCATCCTCCCCCCCCCCTTCCTCGGCCGGCGAGGGTTAACCCTCGCCCTGGTAGGGCATTTTTCATAACGCAGCCTGGCGGGAGGGGGTCGATGCGACCCCCCGCGATTGGCTCCTATGGCACCTAGAAACACCAAATTTCACCGTGTGAAACACCAAATTGTACATGTTTTGAAGTGAGTTTTACTTTTAAAAATTTAAATTTGTGGGCTGGGCGACGATTGGGACCAGTTTAGGTTACGTTTTGGTGAAGGTTAGGTAAATAAAGGTCAAATTCAAAAGCTTATATTTTTGCATAAAAGCACTATTGATTCGACGCAGCCTGTCTCGAGGAATCAAATAGTGGTCATAGTTTTACGCTACGTGTATATGTTACAGTGCGTCCACGAAATCTGTGAGTTTGCGAAGTTACTAGTTACAAGCCGCGAAATCCCTAGGGACTCCGCGAACTCACATAAACTCTCGTTAATCCGCGGAATCACTGCCGTGGCTCCGCGGATTTACTAGAGTTTCCAGTGCGTCCGTGAAGTCGCTGAAGAGTCCCGGGGATCTGCGAACTTCCTAGGTAATCCGCGGATCAGCGATTCTTTTTCAGTGAATCCACAGAATACCGGCTCTTTTTTAAGAGAATATCCAAAAAGCGTTATTTAAATCTTATGCCGATTATTCGTAGAGGCTCAAAGACAATTGGAACCGAATCATGTTGCCGATATGGTGGTCCTGTTGTGCGTTGGCCGGCATGACAATATCAGTCCATGGGAATAAAAACTTCGGCAGATTTGGTAAGTTTTATGTTACATTGTAACGTAGGTGTCCTGCTAGTCCTGCTTATGAAAAAATGACCTGCCAGGGCGAGAGTAGACTGTAACAAAAACCACTTTTGGGCATGTAAAAATGGTAAATGTGGCAAAATGGGGTACTACATTCCATATCGCCTCCACCGGAAAAGTTCGTTTTACTCCGGGGACGTTGGCAATAGAGCAGGATCGTTCATGTTTATCAAAATGACCGGCGACTCTATTGCAGCGAAAGGTTGGCTCGGAAGAGAGTCATTGCTTTCACTGACTATCACAAACCTACCCAAGCGGATTTTCACCTAGGAAGACACCAAACAAACGTTGAAAATGTATCAGCACCATGAAAAAACCCTACCCGCGATCCTCAGCAACGCCGCTTCCCGTTGGCGTCCACCGGAAAAGGGCGGCGAATGAGCGAAGTTTGAATTGCCAGAAACGATTTAAGATAGCAACACCTGATTAGAATAAAATGCACTTTCTTATATTGCCCCGGTACCCCAATATGGCCCACCTTCCCCTATTTACTAAGCACAAAGCACAAGTCGAAAAAATAAAGATTTTACTGGTTGTGGTTTATTGTCCAGACTAACGTCCAGACGCAGAAGTTACTAAAACTGCCGTGAGAATCTGGATCCGAACCACTTTTGAAGAAAAAAAAATTGAACGTTAGGCGATGTGCTGGATAATGCACGTCGTTGTTGATTTGTGACTGACCACGTCCAACCAGGTGGCATTTTCCACGACTGCGCCGTGCACGACATCGACCTGATCTGCTGGATCCTGGGCCAGTTTCCGCTGCGGGTGCTGGCCTCAGCGTCGGCACACGTGCCGGAGATCGCCGCGCTGGGCGACCACGACACGGCCGCCATCGTCATGGAGTTCGAGGGCGGCACCATCGGCTCCATCGACCTCAGCCGCAACGCCGTCTACGGCTACGACCAGCGCACCGAGGTGGGTGGGACCAGCGCCCCGGGGTGTAGGGGACCAGCGCCCCGGGGTGTATGGGACCAGCGCCCCGGGGTGTATGGGACCAGCGCCCCGGGTGTATGGGACCAGCGCCCCGGGGTGTATGGGACCAGCGCCCCGGGGTGTATGGGACCAGCGCCCCGGGGTGTATGGGACCAGCGCCCCGGGGTGTATGGGACCAGCGCCCCGGGGTGTATGGGACCAGCGCCCCGGGGTGTATGGGACCAGCGCCCCGGGGTGTATGGGACCAGCGCCCCGGGGTGTATGGGACCAGCGCCCCGGGTGTATGGGACCAGCGCCCCGGGTGTATGGGACCAGCGCCCCGGGTGTATGGGACCAGCGCCCCGGGGTGTATGGGACCAGCGCCCCGGGTGTATGGGACCAGCGCCCCGGGGTGTATGGGACCAGCGCCCCGGGTGTATGGGACCAGCGCCCCGGGGTGTATGGGACCAGCGCCCCGGGGTGTATGGGACCAGCGCCCCGGGGTGGGCGGGACCAGCGCCCCGGGGTGGGCGGGACCAGCGCCCCGGGGTGGGCGGGACCAGCGCCCTATATAGGTTTTGCTCCGTCCCGCTGCGCTCAATGCCTGCACAGGGAAAGTTAGCGGGGCTTCACTGTCAGAGGCTGTACCAGTGACAGCTGGGGCATTCCACGATAGATCGTACCAGGCCCGTCACCCTCATCTCTCAGATTTTAATGAAAATCGGTCCTAGAAAATCTTAGGCCCCAAAGACGCCTGGCAAAATATCAGACTTCTCAGATCAAGACTTTTTGAGTTATATTGCATTACATTTTTTAAAATTCGGTTTGTAACTGTGAGTTTGATGGCCTCTAACTCAAGAACGGGTTGAGCAACCAACAAACAGTAAACAACACTAAGCTTGCGATGAATCAAAAATTAATATTACTATTTAAAAATTCCAAAGAAAAATTTTCATCGTTGAGCAAAAACCTTAACCCTCGCCGGACCTATTGGTTTTCTACATACGCGCCGGCCGAGGGGGGGGGGGCGGGTACGACCCCCCTCGCCGTTTCGCCCCTGGAGGAGCTAGCGCGTCGCGGAAAAAACGAGCGTGTGCGCCGTTACGAGACGCAGAGATTGGTACCCGATTTTAAGGTCCTAGGTCAACCAGTGACCTCTGAGGTCAGGTCAAGTGCCCCAAGGTACGGTTCAGTTTTTGGTGAATAACTTCGCACAAAACGGCCGCAGAGCCGCGATTTTGGCAGCATCGTGTTCGCCTCGCTTAGGCGCGTCGAATGATATACTTTTTGTCCGGGCAGGTCAACTTGGGGTGTTGACCTCAGGTCAAGGTCAGGTCAGCACCCCCAGATCACGAAGTTGGTCGAAAGAGGTCATGTCGCATATCATTCGATTCGGCAGGTCTTCCTGAGTCCATTGGTGGCTTTCCCGACTCGCTAGCTCAATTTGATCAAGAGTTATTGACGAAAAACTAATATGACCTTGATGACGTCATAAATGACGTCACGCAAGGTCAATATTGCAAAAGTGACGCATCTAACCTTGCAAGGAGTGCATCAAATCACGATTCTATGTGCTTGAGATAGTTGGAGATCGTTCCCGGCGCCAGAATAGCAGTTTTCATTTTTCCCCATTGACTTATAATGGTGAGGTCACGAAAATGACCTGACCTCATATGACCTTTAGGAAGAATCCGAGATATACAAGCTGTGAGACTCATAATGGATACTAGATCCTGCAAGTTTCATTTCCCTGTGACATCTCCTCTGGCAGTGAGGGCGTTGCGAAGTTGCGACATCTGAAGACCGTGCAGAGGTTCACTTATGACGTCATAGGTCAGTGACCTGACCTGACCCAAAAATGCGGTTGGTGTCAAAAGATCCGGCTTGAATCAAAGGTCAGGTATGCCAAGTTTCAGCTCTCCATCGCCAGCGTGTTCGGAGCTATCGTGAAAAAAACCCTATGGGGGGGGGGCGGCACCCCCCCCCCCCCTCGGCCGGCGAGGGTTAATCTTTTTTTCATTTGCCTCTAATGACTTTTGGGACCAAAATTTTTCACATTTTCATTTTTTCAAAATAAACTTCATGTCATTGCAAATCGACATGCAAAAATTTGAAAGGTGTTCTTTCTATAAGTTCCTCATTTTCCCGCAAACAAAATGGGTTTCGGAGGGGTTGATACCACCCCAGCACGCCGTTTCGCTTCTAATGGAGCTAGAGCCTCGCGGGAAAAACGAGCGTGTGTGCCATTACAAGTCGCAGCGATTGGTACCCGATTTTAAGGTCTCAGGTTAACCGTTAGGGTCTGAGGTCAGGTCAAGTGACTGAAGTTACGGGTTCGGTTTTTAGTAAATAACTTCGCAAAAAAATGGCCGCAGAGCCGCGATTTTGGCATCATTGTGTTCGCCTATCTCAGGTGCATCGAATGGTATACTTTTTGCTAGGGTGAGGTCAACTTAAGTAGTTGACCTCGGGTCAAGGTCAGGTCAGAGCCCCTCAGGTCACGAAGCTGGACAAAGGGTATCGTATGGCATATCATTCGATTCGGAAGGTCTTCCCGAGTCCACTGGTGGCTTTCCCGACTCTCTAGCTCCATTTGATCGGGAGTTATTGATGAAAAACTCGTACGACCCTAGTGACGTCATAAATGACGTCACGCAAGGTTAACAATGCAAAAGTGAAGCGTTGGACTTTGCAAGGAGTGCATAAAATCACGATACCATGTACGTGAGATAGTTTTAGATCATTATCGGCGCCAAAATAACAGTTTTTTTATATTTCCCCATTGACTTATAACAGTGATGTCACGTCACCGACCTGACCTCATGTAACCTTAAAAAATTCCCAGATATACAAGTTGTGAGACCTCTGGAGGATACCATGTATGCGTCCTGTAACTTTTATCTCGGACAGCTATGGTCATTGGCGTCCAAAACAATGTCAGAACCAAACAGCCTTTTTCACCCTAGCGCTTATAGGAAAGAGGGTTGGATGAACCCTCTTTTCACTTTTTTCAGATGACTCAGACTTCAATTGAAATTTCAGTAACCCGTGATGGCGCTAGGCAGCTTTACCACGCCAGTTGTAAGCTCCCCTCCCGAAATCACTATTCGAAACCGTTATCGTGACGTAAAATAAATACATTTATAGAAAGAACACCTTCCTAATTTTTTGCATACTTCTTAACAATGAGCGAAATATTTTTTTTTAAGAAATAAAAATTCAAAAAAAATTGGTCCCAAAGTCCAAAAAATACAAATGAAAGAAAACTCGATATGTCATATCAAAAATAGCGTATTTTTCGAAATTTCAAAAATACATATTAATCTCTGTTTCATTGCAAGTTCAATGTTATATAACATTTGGCATTTGAATAATCCGTCTTAGAGTTACAGCCCGCCAAACTTAGCGCTGCAAAGCAAGATCCAAAAAATGTTATACACCATAACTAAAAAAATACTTATCTGATAAGCCTGAAATTGTTACAGGTGGATTCAGAGCCCTTGATTACCATTGAGACCAATTCTCGTCAAATTCCGAGAGATGAGGGTGTCAAATTGGAAAAAGTGGTACGATCTATCGTGGAATGCCCCAGCTGTTCGGCCCTGCGACCGGTCAAAAGCTTGCCCGGCGCCGTCGGGCGCTACCCCCACTCTAGCCCAGCTGAGGCCGGTACAAGCTCTGACAGCTCAGCGCGGCCAACTTTCCTTATGCCTAGCTGAGTTGAGCAAAGCAGATATAAACAAAGGCAAAGTCATACATGATTGAAAATGACAGAGCAATGAATCTTCCTCTCAGGTATCCTGAACAACTTAAGTACCGACTTGAATCGTCAAACCAACAAATATGACGTTCATTTAGTAGGGCGACAGCTAAACGTCCCTTCCGTAGCCCGTCAGACAGCCGAGAGCGCCGGGTATGCGCGTCGATAGGGGTCATATCACGCTTTTGTGTGGCTTACTTTGATCCATCGTGACATTGAGTTGTTTGATTGCGCCGTGTTGCCGGCTGTGAGAGACGCATATTAATATCTGCGAATATTCTTTCGCTACTTATTGTTCCTTCGGCATTCAGTTTTCACTGTAAAACAAACAAAAAACATGCCTATGGTTTTAACCCGCGCACCGACGGGGGTCTGCGCCAACTTCGCACCGACGGGGGGGGGGCGGATGACCGCCCCCCCCCCCTGAGATATCGAGAACGAAGCAAGATAGCGACAAGCGGTAAACGGCATCGGATACGCACGGTCAAGATCTACAATTTTTACTAACGTCATTTTCAGGTCAGGTCAAAGATGACGTCACAGGGGTCGAAAAACTAAAAATGGCGGCGCTAGATATGGAGAGAGTTTTTCTCGAATAACTTTCGAATTAGTCAAGATAGGAACAAACTAAGGGCACCATCGTGATCCTCTCGTCAATCCGCATCGAATGATATATATATATATATTGACCTCGAAAGGTCAAGGTCAAAGGTTGACCTCAGGTCACGTGACCTCGAGGTCATCATGTATATCATTCGATGCGTCTTGACAAGCTGAACACAATAAGACCATCCACGCGGCTGTATCTTGTTCCTGTACGGAGTTATTGGCCAAAAACCTTTGGTGACCTTTGATGACGTCACATGACCTCACAGCTGCCCAACAGCAAAACAGACCTCAAGGTAGTGAAGGTTGATCGTATATGAAGTCATGTATGGTATATGGGGCCATTCCGGCCCGTTTTAGTGGTAAAAATAGGGAGTTGATTTTTCCCCCATTGACTTATAATGGGGAGGTCGCGAAATTGACCTGACCTTAGGTCAACGATATCAAAATTCCGAGATATACAAATTGTAGCTACTAATGATCTAATCACATCCTGCGACTTTCAAAGGCCTCCGACATCTACTGTAGCTCTGGCACGGTGACAAAGTTGCAAAAAAGTGACTTGAGGTTGGGTCATTCAAAGTGACCTGGTGACCTGACCTTAAAAGGTAGGAGGTTCAAACTTGCACACCATGTGTAAAATTGATGAGGGAATAGTCGTACTAAATTTTGCGGCGCTACGCGCCGCGGTTTTTCCGCTATCCGCGAAAAACCTCAGGGGGGGCGGATATCCGCCCCCCCGTCGGTGCGCGTGTTAAGAATCATGCACAGCTCGTTGAACTAAAATTTAATACGTTTTTACAAAAACGCAGTTTTTGAAAAAGACCATCGAACGATTTCGATAAAAAATACATTTTTGGAATCAGCTCACCGTCATCTTTCGTATGGTAGGTGTATAATTCGTTTCTATTGTGGATGAAATGACTTTCCGACGAATCGTGTACAAAACGCATGAAACGACTCGATGCTCCTATGACTCATGTTACCGTTCAATGTGTTACCTACCCCTCTGTCAAACCCAGGCATTAACCCTCGCCCGCACATGTCATTTTCCCATCCTAGAACGCACATGGGGGGGTTGCCACCCCCGCGCCATTTCGTTCCTGTTGGAGATAGAGCTTCGCGGTAAAGACCAAAAAGATTCTTTGAAGAGACAAATCCAATGATACCCAGTTTTACCTTCTCAGGTCAGTCATTGACCTTCCAGCTCAGGTCAAAGTAAAAAATGTTGCTGTTTTGGGTCACCGTTGGATATCAAGTGCGCTGCTTATCATATACCGATGACGATGCCGTTTTCTGGTGCCAAGCCAGCTAGAACCTCATTGTCACACTACCTGACCAGGTTTTTGCTGCTGAGGTCATTTCAGGTCAAGTTAGGTCAAGGTCAATGATTATTATTATTATTATTATTATTATTATTTCATATTCCCACTAACCACCATTCGGTGGGCATTACAGAGGGAAACACATTGACACACATAAACCATATACATACAATACAGGCAGCGCAGTGCCCTGTCATTCATAAGCACGTATAACGAAATCAAAATGCAGAACAAAAGCGATTTTCTATAACAAAAAGTTTGATGAGACAGCGAAGCCTTATGAGTAACCGGCAATTATTACAACGAACAATGTGACATCACCGGAACAACACCACATACATATACATCATTTTACCGCGTGATTTTCCAAAATATATTTCACAAAATCAGCTTTCGAATAGTTTCGGACATGAATGGGCAAGCTATTCCATAGTTTTGCACCACTGTAAGAGAAGGACGCTTTCTTCATTTCAGTCCTAGGTATAACTAGGTCAAGGTTGCCTGATTGCCTTGTTTGTGGGGCAATCAGGACATACAAACAGACATACAAACACAATGATATGTGTTTGTATGTCTGTGTGTGTCTGTGTGTATGCTGATGTGTGCACCGATTGTTTATGTGTCCATATTAGGTACATGAAATCATGATCTGAGAAGCTTTTACCAAAAATGCAGTCACATGTAGCGTTGTCAGCGTGGCCACGGACCTTTTTGGTATGTTCTGGCGTTACCCTTTTTCCATTGAAAAAACGTACAAAATTGAAGTTTACTTGAACCCAAATAAATCTGGCGCAATGTGTACCGCCACCTTCAGCCTCAAAACGTTCCTTGTTTCAAGCTCTGTCAATACAAGTCGGCTAATCGTGCATTTCTTAAAAACTGAGGTGGTACCTGGGGGGTAGAAGCACCCAAAGTCGGGTCTCTTTAACATTGGGCTGGTGGTTAAATTTTATGATTTGGGACTTTGCTGGCTTCCTCGTCTTACATTGTATCAGTGGGTAGTGGGTACGCCACCTTCAAGCTATACTGATAGAGCTATCAATTCTAAAACTACTGGTGCTTGTTTCGGCATCATTCGACAAATACCCAACTGGTACCTTGGGGGTAAAAAAAACTTCCGACTGGAAAATATAGAGGAAGGTCATGGGTTCAAATCTCATCGCCGACGGAGTCTTTGCGTGTTCGGGTATTAATATGACCGAACGCGTTTACCACCGATATCTTAACCCGCGCCCCACTGGGGTCTGCGTATAACACGCCCTACTGGGGGGGGGGGGGCTATTCATAGCCCCCCTCCTAACTCCGAAACAACTGGGCCGATCGTCAAAATTCAAACGGCGTCTGATAGCCCCGGAAAAACTGTCGAGCGAAAACTAATTTCATTGACCTCGAAGTCACCGATGACGTCACAGGTCAGGTCAAAGTAAAAGTTATTAGCATTTTGGCTTGTTCACGTTTTGGGCTCTGGCCGCCGTCTTACAAGTCAGATCAGGCTCATTTTTGGTTCACACACTCGTGAACAGATGCTCTAGATACCCTGAGGGTACCAAACTTGTACTTTAATTTTCAGGTCAAGGTCAGGTCATCACAGGTCACGAAAATATTATATCATGCGTCGGTCACGTGACACATGTTTTATGGTCCTTTTAGGCCAAAAATTTCGAATTTGATGTCGTCTGTGTCATTCGAGGTAATTTTGAGTCAAATTTAGCTTAGGTCAGGTCACTTTCAGGTAAAAAAGGTCAAATTTTGAAGTTAACATTTTTCAACAAAAAAGTTGTCCATTGGATGCCGTTTGAGCTCAGGAACACGATGGTGCTATTAATATTGGCGTACGATGTCAAATACGTGCTGAAAAATTGATTTGAAAAATTAATGATTGTGAATTTTTTGCAATAATGCGTATAACTTAGCCATTTTTGAAGATATTTAGCTTAAACTTGCTAGAGTTAGTCATAATAATGCGTTCTATCACATATATTCCGTTTTTTTCGAAAATACAAAACTTTTTGAAAAAAAATGTAAAAATATAAATTTTGAATTTTATTATATTAAATTTTCGAAATTTTCACAATTTCGAAAATTCGAGATAGCAGTTTGATAGCGCAGTCTATTCTGAGTCCTGTCATGCAAATAAATTGGATCTAGCTTAAAAACTGAGCTCTTGGGAGCGATTGCCGTGGTTCAATGTTTTGCGTCGAAATCGGCCGAACATGACGTCACTCTGACGTCATTTCCGGCCGACCTATGGTAGGTACGAAGCTCAAATTTTGACACAAGGTGTCAAATTAATGCAGCCGAAGGTACTGAAAGTTTGGCGCCGATACGTCTTGCGGTTTGGAAGTTATTGCAGAAAAACGGGAGGGGGGCTATGAATAGCCCCCCCCCCCAGTGGGGCGCGGGTTAAGAGCCAATGATCCCTACCAAGTCCCGCGAGGTGACATTCGATAGGACTCTCCGAGACCTTTCCAAGGCGTACTTAATTTAAAGATCAAGGTCAGGCTTTATGTTAAGCATGCCGCTTCTGTATGGTGTAGCCCACGGCCAGCAATATCGGCGGCCGTGCAATATAGCAATATCGGCTTACAATCACAACTGAGACTCTAAAAATACGCAAAACACCTATAACTTGAAGAATCATACGCCGCCGCAATACCTCCACACTCGTCTTCAAAGAAGCAATGGCGCCCATAGTGCTGAAGGTGTCACAACAGTGGAAGAAAATCCTCAGAAAATAAGACATTTGCGATGAATATTGGAAATATTGAAAGACAATATTGTAAAAAAAAAAATGTTTTTAGGACTCTGTTGATGGTATTTCAACTCGATTGGTACTACTTTATTCGCCATGACGTCTTTTATTTTCATGGCCATCACTAACATCCCCCAATTACGGAACGGCTGTGCGTGCGGCCCGGGTGTTCCGTTATTACGGAAGGCGCTCAGCCGGTGGCCGCGCTGACAACGCTACAAAAATTTCACGAAAAGTAGATTCAGCTTGCCTAAAACGCAATTATTTTAGATGACCTAGGTTGACATTGACCCTGACCTTGAAATCTGTACATCGTCGAACAACATGTTCCATGATAGGTGGAAGGTAAGACTGGCAAAAAAAGGCCGAAAGCAAGGCGTCAAATTTAAAAAAAATGTCCAGGTCATGTGTATTTTGAAAGCGTAAAAGATATTGATTTATTTATTAGGTAATGTATTAGTATCTCGATATTGTCACTGACGAAGGCACCCTGAGGCCGAAACGTCTGGCTAATTAGAATATCTGTTTTTGTGTTGTCATCGAAAGTGAATAAAATCACAATGTCTGAAAAGGCGTCAAAAGCTCACAAGGCCCATAGCCAACGCACGATGTTGAGAATTGGTCATTTGGGTCATGACATGACCTGAAAAACAAGGTTATATCTCCGAAACCAAAAACTACAGAAACTTGAAATTTTCAGTGGACTTCAAGAAAGGATAGAGGAGCAGCTATACAAAAAATCAGGCTCCTAGCTCTGAAAATGTTGAGTGCAGAGCAGAAAGACTATCTGGGGGGGGGGGCAATCCCCCATGTGCGGGCGAAGGTTAAGCAGCCCTAAGTGTCGCGAAATGTGTTATTGTGTCACTCCTATGTCTGACCTCACTGACTTATCCCGAACCTGGGCGAGAATGCTCGATGGAGCCCGGCACAATAAAGGGAGAGAGAGAGAGAGGGAGAGAGAGAGAGAGAGAGAGAGAGAGAGAGAGAGAGAGAGAGAGAGAGAGAGAGAGAGAGAGAAGAGAGAGAGAGAGAGAGAGAGAGAGAGAGAGAGAGAGAGAGAGAGAGAGAGAGAGAGAGATCCGCTAATGAATATGTTTGGCCCGGTGTTTGTGCCAGGTGTTTGGTCCGGGAGGGCTGCTGACTGTGTTTGGTCCGGTGTTTGTGCCAGGTGTTTGGCCCGGGAGGGCTGCTGACCGCCGGGAACGAGAGGCCTGTCAACGTGCACCACCTGACGCCCGGCGGCGAGACGGCTGTGCCCTTCTACTTCTCCTTTCCCTCCCGCTACAGCGAGAGCTACGCCAACGAGCTGGACTCCTTCCTCGACTACGTGCAGGGTGCGTGGGCAGCCAACTGCCCGACGGTGGATTCTGTCATACTGGCCGCTGCATATAACTTATTAGCAGTTAACTAATAGGATCTACTACCAGACGGATGCGATTAGTAGAGGCTACATCGTATTGGAGCTCCTGCAACAGTTTTTCATTTGCCTCGTCGCACTTATGTTGCCTATCAGTCTACTTTCCGCGCGTATTGCCTGCGCCCCTTAACTGATGCTGGCCTGGCCACCGGGCCGCACCATCCAGCGCCTGCTTAGCATGTCGCCGGTGTGTGCCATTGAAAACCATCCGAGGATACACCTCGATTGGCGTCCGCCTGTGCACCTGTGTCCCACATTCTACTGCCATTGGCTAACAGGGCTTTTTTGTTCTGTTGCAGGAAAGATACCGCTGCCGATTCGGCCCGAAGACAGCCTGCGCGTCAGTCAGATTGCCTCGGCGTGCGAAGAATCTCTCCGCACGCGGGCCTTCGTTGAGCTTGACTATGAATCTGCCCAATGAATATTATTCACGCAATGTTCACTGAGTTAGGGCAGTCTCAGCGACTAGGCACGGCGCTCAACACGTCAGCTACCCTGTGTCGCCGCAATGACGCTCCGTCTAGGCGCGTGCTGCGTTATAGCCAGTTACGCAAATAGGACATAGTTAGACACAAGTGCAAGTTGTTGCTCTGTCTATCAGACCAGAGAGCTAGCCGCAGTCCTCAACCGCCTCATGTTTCATTTAGCCTTACGCATACGATCGCCATGGTTGATAGGCAGTGCGGGCACAGCTGTAGGTATGCATTCATCGATATTTGCACGTTTGAGCAATGATGTGACGTGCAGCGTATCTTGTAACTAGCTGAGCAGCATTTAACAGCACTTAATCAATACAGGTGTTTATTCAATGTTGGCAAGCAAGACATTTATTCTTTTACTAACGAAACTCATGAGAGCTGATGTTGCATTTGAGCAGCTCTTTGACGAAGTTTCACGCTTCTCTTGACACACAGATCAGGGGCTTTCAAAAATATTTTTCCAATCCAGCATCGAATTCACTTGAACATCGCCTAAATTGCTTTACGGGACGCCGAATATCATGCCACATGACGAAACCGTGCACTATGACGAATTTGAGCCCACGTTCCATTGAATTTGAACGCACTATCTTCTAAATTGATTGCTGTTTTTGAAACATGTGCACTATTACTGAACATCCTGACTCGGCCGGACTAGCGGTGCACTATGCCAAACTGTCGAAATCGGTTGCACTTTTACTGAACTGTGTGCACTATTAGATAATATTAGATTCTTTATTCGCGACAAATCCATAAAACATGGGTTTTCACTGTCTCACGTCAAACACGATACAAAGAAAGACGAGATTTGGGACAGCACAAGGCAGTTCACTTAACCCGCGCCGGGCTGGGGAGGGGTGTTTGAACACCCCCCCCCCCTGCGGTTTTTCGATGGGGTAGCTTTACCCTCGATGGGGTAATGGGTAATTTTTACCCCACCATCTTGTTTCGGTTTTCATGGGCTTTCATATGATACCTATATTTGGGGGATGCGTGCAATGCACGTGTCAGAAATTTGTAGATAAAAATTTCCAAGGGCATTTTTACCCCATAGATTTAATTGCCCATAGGGCTTCTTCTTTCGCTTCTTCAGTCAGATTGATCATCTCGGTCTGTAGTATTACCTTGCCGATTTTGAAGAAAATCGTACGGGCTGCCTCGTTGACCCAACATTTCCATCTTAGATGGTGCTTTTTGCCATGATGAATAGATATAAATATGCAAAAATGATCAATAACATGGCAGAAATGTAAAACATTTATTGTAAAATAGGTCAAATATGAGAAAGAGCTTTCGCTTTACAGCATCATCAGATTCGTCATCAGATTCGTCATCATCAGCGAAAACTCATTCTCATATTTCGCCTATTTTGCAATAAAAGTTTTACATTTCTGCCATGTTCTTGATCATTTTTGCATATTTAATTTCCATCTTGGTTAACCCTATTACTGGTGGGCTTTCTGGACTACGTTAACTGGTAGGGGGGGGGGGGCGGGATTCGGCCCTCCTTGATATCTCAAAAACTAAACGTCCGATCTTGATGGGACAAACGCCATTCGATTGCTCTCATCGTGAACTTTCAGATGGAATATAAAAAGTAAAAAACGCTCAAAATTGGGGGTCCTGGAAGCAAAATTTCCAAAAAATGCGATTTACACCTTATCACTAAAAATGCTATAACTTCTTTGTTTTTTGACCGCTTTTGGTAAAACTTAAGAGGACCCTTCTTCATGCACTGGGCCTTCATATATATTCCGGTATTTTTTATATTTCAAAAATTAAAGGCGGATTCAGGTAAGCTAACTTGGGATGATGTTTTGAGTTTTTGTCATGGTATGTCATGTGTCTTATGACATGATGTGTCATATATCATGTAAAATATGCAACGTGGGCACAAAATACACGTTTTCGTTAAGCATAGGTGGATTCAGGCACGCTAATACGGGGGCAGTATATTAATATTACTCCCCTTTCTTAGGTACCTGGATCCGCCTATTCCAATATTTCCATTGTAAAATGAGGTCACATAGTCTAGAGACGCCTCTGCGCAAGCTAGAAACTCAAAAATTTGACACAATGTGCCCAATGAATAGCAAGGAAAAGTCACAAAATTTCGAGTCCCTAGCTTAAGTGGTTTTCCGTCGAGAGGGAAAAAACTACAGGGTGGGTACCGAATCGCCCCCCACCACCAGTAATAGCCCGTTCCACGACAAATCGACAAATAAAAAATTAAATTTGCACCCACATATTTCATTCTTCGTTGAAAACTGGTGTAAGGGGTTGTGATGGGCGGGGAAGCCAGCTGTGGCAAGGATTTTTTCTTCTAACAACGGGATCCGAGATATAGCCTCGGGCAATTCCTGGAGGTCACGCTGCAACCCTATGTTTGGCGGCTTATAACTCAGAAACTATTGGTTTTCCATGATAAAAACTTTGGTCAACTCACAATCAACCAACAAACATTTTGGCTATCTCGGATTTTCAATTTTTGAAAATTTTGATCACGTGACCTTTTTACCTATTTTTCAAAGAGTGACCTTGATATTTTCCCCACTGAAAGTTAAAATTTTATCTGATGACGATTTAAGCCTTATCAATTATCATTCATATGCGATAATAAAAAGTGGTTATCGCCCTGCGTTGACCTCAGGTCAGGTCATTTTTATGACCTGTCCATTATTACGAGCGGGAGCGACAGCGAGATCTCGTGAACAAAGCAAGATAGCGACAAGTGGTAAACGGTACAGGGTACACACGGATAAGGTCTACAATTTTTACTGAGGTCATTTTCAGGTCAGGTCAAAGATCACGTCACAGGGGCAAAAAGGAAGTCAAAATAGCGGCACTACATAAATATGAAGTTTTTTTCTCAAATAACTTTCAAGGTATCCCAGCTAGGAACAAACTAATAGCACCACTGTGATCCTCTCGTCGATCCGCATCGAAACATATGTATGTTGACCTCGAAAGGTCAAGGTCAAAAGTTGACCTTAGGTCACGTGACCTAAGGTCATCATATATAGCATTCGATGCGCCTTGACGAGGTGAGCACAATGAGTCCATCCGCGCATCTGTATCTCAAACCTGTAAGGAGTTATTAGCAAAAAAAAACCTTTGGTGACCTTTAATGACGTCACATGACCTTACAGTTGCGCAAGAGCAAAAAGGGTCTCAAGGTAGACAAAGTTGATCCTATATGTAGTCACTCATGGTATATTAGGCGATTCCGACGTGTTTTAGTTTAAAAGTAAGCTAGCCGATTTTTCCCCAATTGACTTTTAATGGGATGGTTAAGAAATTAACCTGACCTTGGGTCATCGATATCGAAATTCAAAGCGAACTGGCGCTAGGCCAAAGCAAACACAATGGTGCCTGTTCCACGTCTCTTTCTTTATTAGATCAAAAGGTACAGCCAAAACTATTTTGACTTCCTTTTTACCCCTGTGACGTCATCTTTGACCTGACCTGAAAATGACCTCAGTAAAAATTGTAGACCTTATCCGTGTGTACCCTGTACCGTTTACCACTTGTCGCTATCTTGCTTTGTTCTCGAGATCTCGCTGTCGCTCCCGCTCGTAATAATGGACAGGTCATAAAAATGACCTGACCTGAGGTCAACGCAGGGCGATAACCACTTTTTTATTATCGCATATGAATGACAATTGATAAGGCTTTAATCGTCATCAGACACAATTTTAACTTTCAGTGGGGAAAATATCAAGGTCACTCTTTGAAAAATAGGTAAAAAGGTCAAGTGATCAAAAATTTCAAAAATTGAAAATCCGAGATAGCCAAAATGTTTGTTGGTTGCTTGTGAGTTGAACCACTTAAGTTTTTATCGTAGAAAACCAATAGTTTCTGAGTTATAGGCCGCCAAACATAGGGCTGGAGCGCGACCTCCAGGAATTGCCCGAGGCTATATCTCGGAAACCGTTGTTTGAAGAAAAAAATCCCTGCCACAGCTGGCTTCCCCGTCCATCACAACCCATTACTCCAATTTTAAGCAAAAAATAAAATATGAGGGTGCAGGGCACTTGTCAATTTGTCGTGGAACGCCGCAATAGTGTTAAATCATTCTTTTGGTTAAATTGATCCGGTATTTTTCCACATCATTAGGTTCGGCTTAAAGAGATCTTTCAAATGGTGGTCTTGTTTTTTCTGTTTCGTTCAGCCGTTTGGGCATAAAACAGTTATGTTGTTATGATTGTTATGATTGTTCCCTAGATTTGGTGCCCCCAATCTGGGCTGGGTCGAACCTGGGCTGAAAGTGGGCTAACTTCCGTTACCTAAGGGATCCGCCCTGAAACGCGCCGATCGTGTTTGGTCTGACACCGTCCGACCAAAAATCTGCGGTCTGCGGACTCCGCAGGTGTTCGCCCCCGCCGCTGTTGGGCATCTGCACCTGCTGCGTGTGGCCGCTGAGATAGTCCGTCAACCACGCCGTCTCTACACCGTACAGCGCGAGCTTCTCTAAAAGTCTCTGGTGCGGCACCACATCGAAACATTGCTATATTTGGCCGTAAAAAGATGTATATTTCTAAAGTGTTCCGAGTAATCATGAAAAAAAACATCGGTAAGAGGCACCCGCTCCGCCCTCGGCCCCTGATGGTGATGTGAACGCGCGATTATAGAAACTAAGCGGTCTTTTTCAATTATATTGGTCATAAGACAAGACTGACATAACTTTAGACATATTGTTACTGGATGGTGGCACGCATCTACATGAGGGCACTATCTTCACCGATACATAGTACCGACAATCTCCACCGACTATCTTCACCGACACATAGCACACATGGCACCCAAACATGTGTGGGCTCATCAGTTCTAAATTCACTTGGTGTGCTGCCGGGTCAGGTGAGCGTCCGCTCTCCTCTACATAATCCGAGGGAAGTCGAGCAGCACTTCACCTCAGCAGCGCCGGCTGGAGGTGCCAGCGGCAGTCTTGGCGCTGTCCCGCCAGACTCGCTCCGCACCTGCGGACACTCGCTGGTCAGCTCCGCACGTCGGCAGCCGTCTTGGTCGGCTGTGACTGTGCCTGGGGTTTGTCGGCCTGACTGACATCTGACGACGAAATGGTGCCCTCTGCACTGCTGTGGGCGTACACATTATGATAACGCAGCGCCCCCATCGACCGAAACGTAGCCCCACAAGAGCGACAAACACACGCGCGTTTCGTCAACGCTGGCGTGTAGGCTGGAGATATTTTCTGTCCATTGCAAGATTTGCATGCACACATTACCGGAAGTACCCGCGGAGGATGGGCTTTGGCGGACCGAGAGCTTCTCTCGCCGCGCCGCTTCTCTTTTAATGGAAGAGTAATATCGGTGGTGGA